TCAAAATTGCGTTGAAAGGAACTAAACTGGGTACTTATATCCTTTTGCCAAAGTTTCTCAACATGTCTTGAATCAGAAAACCCATGGCAAAAGGGCATAACTGACATTTTGAGCGCAAAAATCAATATCTATAGAAAAAATGTGTGCTACACTGGAAGAGACATTATTTGTCTATTTGAATACATTAACCATGAAATCAAATACTAAAACACATTTTAGGGCTAAATAAATTGCACGTTTTGCTTAATATCTCCAAAACAGCAAATTGTCAGTTATGCCCTTTTGCCATGGGGGGGGGGGGGGGGGGGCAGAATTGTCGTATAATGGTATCCAATCTGCAATCAGAAAAACTGTTGTTGCGCTACCCAATCAGAACGACATGCAAATGATTGATACCATCCAATCAGAACGCTTGTTTTATAGTATTGTCCCGTTATTACGATACTTGTTTGTAATGCCGCCTGAGGCTGAATCTGTGATAGATTTTTCTGAGGAGAAAACAGATATTCAGGGAATGATTACAAATATACAGATTGTATTGGAATAAAAACTAATTAGTTTTTAATTGAAAATTGGTACAGTAACATAATTGTATCGTAAATTAACTGACGATTCTGATATCATGCATAAACCCACATTGCTGGTAATCAATCCACACTTTCCCGTAACGAAAACTTAATAAGTGTTCTGCTTCAATATTGTTATTAACATCTCACAAAACAACAGCGTAAACGTGCATGTGTGTTTTTGGGAAACGTGTACTCACTAAATATTCAATAAAAGCGATCTATCTACTATTTTGTATTGAAGAGTTTATTGCCCATGTATGATAGAACTAATCAACTTCTCATGAAGTGGGTGAGTTTCATCATCTAGTATAGATGTGAATAAACTCTTCACTCGTGCATGATAAATAGAGTCAACAGTATGCAGACTCGTATCAGTATTTTTTTCAGTTTTCTTTATTAACCGATCAATCCTCCCAATTCATTCCTTAGATGCATTACCTCCCCAAGATGTTAAATAAGCCCAGACACTGCAAATCATTGATTGATAGAACATAGTGCTAATTTCACTATTAACTTTAAACTCTTTTCATTACGAAGGCAATTCATCAATGTATCAATGTGATTTTTCCATTTAAGTTTGTCATCGAGGACAACCCCGAGATATTATATGTAGATACTCTCAACACATGTATTATTAATAAGGACCATCAATATTTGTGATATTCTTACGAAAGTCAATAATTCTTTAGTTTCCTAATATTAAGTTTGAGATTGTTGTCATCACAATACTGGTATTTAAAAGAATTTATTTCAGCCATAATGGCTGTCATCATCTTTCTTAATAAGATTAAGTAATGCAGTGTCATCAGCAAACTTAATTACTGGACAATCAGCATGACGAGATAGAAAGTCGGAAGTATACAACGTTAAGCAAAGATCGTATAGCCGCGCTATACGATATTTGACGTTAAGTGCCTTGGGGTACACCAGTATATTAGTAACAATGGTCTAGACTTGACCTCATTATTAAACTTCACAAACTGCCTGCGATTAGATAGGAAATCGAGATTAACACCAACTAGCTGTTTAGAGATACCCCATACTTAGTAATTTGTGGGTGAGGAGATGTGGTTGTTGAATGCTGATGAAAAGTCATAGTACATTATCCTTACGTTATTATCCTTATCATCTAGGTGTGAATAGAGCTTATCTAATGATCAGCTGCGGCTGGATGGACCACCCTCATTAAAGATTGTTGAAATAAATAGATAAATAAATACATCTTCTGTACTGTACTCCTTGCAATGTTTACATTGGACCTGGCTGAAACGCTGGCAGCGCCCTAACTGGAGGCAGAAAGGCTATCTTAATACACTGTCTGGGTTATATATTTATTTTTGTTGTGCCAAAGATATGAAAGCTACATGGATGAAAATCACATATGACATATTTACATATATTAGGAATTGAAAACAAAAAAAAGTGAAGAAACTTAATTTTTTTCTATTTTTATTCAATTTTTAAACTCATCTCATCGGATGTTGCCATGTGCGAGCGCGCTAGGCCAAGAAAGTGCAAGAGTGTGGCGACATCGCCTCCGTAGGTATGAAGGGCCTCGAATAGGCCTGTGAATTTTCTGTTTACCCCACGGTGAGGCTAGGCTAAATTTGACGAAACGTTTTGAGGTATTCGTAAATAAATGGAATAATTACTTAGAAAGTAATCATTACAACAACATCTGGTAGACATTATTATAGTTGCTTAAAAGTAATCATTGAGGCAGTCGAATGGATATTCTGAAAATACATTTTTCTTTGCTTCTAACTCAGGCCGAACTTCTGCACTACGTTCTTGCTTTCAGCGTCCATCGCGCAACGCGGCCAAACTGCGGCATCGTCGATCCTGTAATAAAGCGTTTTCGCTTTCTTGGTCTGGCGCTGTCGCACATGGCAACTACGGGGTGCCATACGCAGGAAAAGTCCATGTTAAAATCAAAATGTAATTGCAAAATTCAATGTCTAATTTATCAAAACGTAGACGTAAATTTCTCAAAATATAGATCTAGTTTCCCAAAATGAAGTTCTAATTTTTCAAAACGTAGTTCAAATTTTCCAAAAAGTAGTTCTAATTTCTTTAAAATGTAATTCAAATTCAAAACGTAGGTCTGACTTCATCAAACGCACTCTCCAAATTATGTTCCAAAACGTAAATCAAAACCAGCCAAGCATGACTGGTTTGAAATACATTTTACAACAACAATATATAAACTATAATACCGTAGTTGTCATTCAATGGGGCCCCGACAGTTTTAAACAATAAAAGCTAGCTGGGTTCTGATGTTTGAGATCATGCTTCTGATTTTGTGATCAATCTGCTTTGCATTGTATATAGGCCTTACGTTATTAAAACATGTTTAGTTCTCACTAAAATTAGCCTACTCTCTGTATTTATTTAGACCTAATTAGTGTACATAGGACCTACCAGTACTAGGCCGTTATTACGAGATAATATCTCATAATTACGAGACAATTATCTCGTAATAACGAGATAATATCTCGTAATTACGAGATAATAATTTACTCAGAAAGTTCAGTACAGCTAGTTACCCGTATGTTTGAAACTCGAGCGTTGCGGTGTTTGGGTGTAATGTACACGATTTTCATTTTCATTCCTTGGTACTTTATTTTTGAATAAGATGCTCCACTTGGCCTGTTTTTGGCTACGATAGTTTATTAATTTGTTATTATCAATACTAATTATCATTAAATGAAATATAGTCAGTCAGAGGGCTTATTTATGGTAATAATATGTATACTAAGCCTGAAGGTGGCGCTTTCCTACGGCGGCCATCTTGGATGGTACACATACACAACTCTGCATTGCTTCGCCATCTTGTCAGCACTCTAGTTGTTTAATATAGTGAGAAACCTAATGTCCAAAAAACAGGTTTGCGAGATAGGCTTGCCCAAAGCAATTTTATTGCATCTTCCGGATATTTTGAGTATGCTGAATCCAAAAATGCAAAGGTCCATTTTTTCCGAAATTGTCTTGGCGGCCATTTTGGATTTCAAAATGGCCGCCATTTATACAGTAAAAATAACCATAACTGCGCTATTAGAGTAGGTATCGACATGATTTTGGTACCAAAACCCTATTTTCTCAATGTCAACCTGTCCAATGGTGATGTTCTCACCAGTTTGAAAGTAAAATACCAATTACTGTGCTATTAGAGCAGGTATCAACTTGATTTTGGTAGCAAACCATAGGTTTTCAATGTCAACATGTCTAATGGTCATATTCCCACGAATCATAAATGGCGGCCATCTTGAATTTCAAAATGGCTGCCATTTTCACAGTAATAACAAAGCATAACTGTGCCATTAGAGCAGGTCAACATGATTTAGGTAGCCAAACCCAATGTTTTCAATGTCAAGCTGTCGAATGGTGATATACACATGGATCAAGAATGGTGGCCATTTTGAATTTCGAAATGGACGACAAATTTCTAACACAAACTGCTTAGATTTTTGCGAAGTAATGTCAATTATTAATTGCAAAACCCAAGTTTTAATTGCAACCTATCAACAAATTAACCTGTCTAATGGTTATATTCCAAGTGGAATCATACCTTTTTGGACCATGAAGACAGAAAAACAACACATGTGAAGTACCAAAGAGAAATCCAAAAGGGGCTTTGTCATGATTCTGTATGTCAGTGGTCTTTGGGAAAAGATTAGATCGAATGAGCACACACAACTTTAATACATGATTCAGACATCAAAATAAGTTGAGAGAACTAGTGTATCCGAAAAACAAGATTATATGAGCAAACACTCACCTTAGAGTCATTATGTGGTCATTGCGACCAATAGTAAAAGGTTTGACCGCTTAGGTGAACATGAAATGAGGTTGAAAAACATAAATAAAGGGGTACGAACTAGAGCCAACATGGGTTCGTCTTAATGAGACATGCACAAAGCAGCAATCACTGGACATACAGTATGGTCACACAACCACATCCCAGATTGGAAATACTACAAGTTACATGGGGAACTGATGTCGGCAGTAGATGAATAAGGATCTAAATGGTTGAGAAGTAAAGACAATAATATTAACAGAGACGAGGGAGTACACCAATTGTCCCATGTGTAGGAACAATTTTTGTTGACTCACAACAAGACCCATTAATACCGGAGTGGCTGATATTGTAAAAACACTTGACATGCATCTGAAAAAATGTCAGTCATTTTGAGTAAAGACAGTTGGCATCCGTTCTTCATGTGAATATCACCATTGGACTGGTTAATGTGTTATTAAGTTCGTAATAAAATCTTTTTCAATCGACATATTTACTTTTTTTTTAAATAATGCAGTTGTCATACATGCTAACATTTTGATAGTAAAAAACGGGGGAATTTGGTCATGGGGTGTGGAGAGGTGTTCCCATTACACGTGTAACCCCTCCCCTTGGAGGCTTTAGCTATTAATGTATTATAAGGCAAATCTCATGATTCTTATGATATGTATTCCAATAATAAAAGTACGGTATTGATTTTAAATAACTTGTGTGTTTAATTGAACCACATTTTGTCTTGTGTCTACACAAGACAAAATATGCCTACAGGCTATGTCTATAATGATACCTGCTCTACTAGCAAACTATTGTTATTTTTACTGTAAAAACGGCAGCCATTTTGAAATTCAAGATGGCCGCCATTTATGATCAGTGAGAATATCACTATTGGAGAGGTTGACATTGAAAATATAGTGTTTGCTGCCAAAATGATGTTGATATTTACTCTAATGGCACAGTTATTGTTATTTTTTATGTGAAAATGGCGGCCATTTTTAAATTCCAAAATGGCCGCCAAGATAATCTTGAAAAAATTGACCCTTGCATTTTTGGATTCAGCATACCCAAAATATCCAGAAAATGCAATAAAATTGCTTTGGGCAAGCCTATCTCGCGAAATGACACTAGGATCCACACTAATAGCTCTATGTGTTTATAAGATCTTTGGGAACAAATTAACGTACTTGGTAACGAACTTATGGCGTAACGCGAACATCCTATCTCAGATCCATGGCAACGACTAGGACGCCCTCTCCCAAAAATGATTACTTTTCTGTGCCAGATCGACGCTTCTATTAATTTTGTGTGTTTATAAGATCTTTGGTTTTGGAACAGAATTTTGGAGAGGGCGTTTGATCAAGCCAGACCTACATTTTGAATTTGAATTACATTTTAAAGAAATTAGAACTACATTTTTAAAAATTTGAACTACGTTTTGAAAAATAAAAAGTTTTGGGAAACTAGATCTACATTTTGAGAAATTTACTCCTACGTTTTGATAAATTGGACATTGAATTTTGCAATTACATTTTGATTTTAACATGGACTTTTGCTGCGTATGGCACCCTATAGAACCTCAGATAATGACTTAAAATAAAGGCCCATGGTATACATCTGGCTCGTGTGCACTTTAAAGAACTCATTGCATCTTTCGGAAGAGAGGGGTTACTCCGATGTTATGGTTTATTTCAGTCGTTGTGGAATGATGTGAACAAATAAGTGCTTTTTACGGCTGCTAGGTAGTCACGGACCACGCCCATACGCAATTCAGCAAAATGGCGCTGCAAGTTATTGGTTATTCTCTACCTTTATACCTTTACCGTTTACCGTATTGTTAAAAGATGATATAGTTTCTCGGAAAAATGTCCTCTTAACCCAGAATAAGGGGTAGGCCTACATGTCCCAAAGTAGGAGTTCTGTATCATTGAAAAGGAAATATAACCTACCTTATGTTTAACCGATACAGCAGCACAACAACTAATATCAGCAAACAGAGCGACACTGCCGAAATTACGACCACCCAAACCTGAATTGTACAATGGAGAGTATTCGTGTCAAACTCCTTTACTTGTGGACCAATCAAGTCGGAAGACCAGTAGCAAGATGCCTTAACGGTCACGTTCGTATACTGTAACCAGGCGTGGAACCATCGTATGTCACAATCGCACGCGATCGGGTTCTCTCGTAGGTCTAATTTCACTAATCCGTGAACATCTTGAATTCCAAAACTCTCCCTCAATGCTGTAAATTTATTTTGACTAAGGATTATCGACTGCAATTCAAAAGAACCACTGAATGCGTTTTCATGAAGTGTAAAAAGTGAGTTACCTTTTAAATTTACCATTTTTAGATATGCTAAATCTTTGAATAGTCCTTCATGTAGGTAATATAGTTTGTTATTGGCAAGATCAACATATGTTAAGTTTGCGCTGTTTTCAAATATATTGTAATTAATCTTCCTTATCTTACAATTCCTAGCATAAAATGTTGTTAACGAGTACAAATCATTAAACCACTCCTTTTTTAATTTCAATATTGCTGTATTGTCACGGATATTTAAGGTCATCAACCTTGTAAGGTTTTTGAACGCGTCTTCACCAATACAGTTTGTGCTCAATTTATTGTAGGATAAATCCAAATATTCCAACATAGGTAGTTGAAATGTATTGTTCCCTAATCCTCTTAGTTTGCTCTTCCTGACAATCAATTTTTTTATATAGCAAGGCAGTAGAGACAGGCCTTTATCAAATATTTTCTCATTGCACTCAGCAGTAAAGCTCTTACATGTACATATTTCATCAGTGAATCCAGGAGGGCAATACAATACGGTGTTATTGCCAGTCTGGTTATTGCAGCTCCATACCTTTGTAGTAGAATATGCAAATACAAACAAGATCGTTACTAGCAATGTAAGTCGCCGTACCATGGTTGTTTCGCTTCCTCTTCGATACATCCTGATTATGCACTGCTAAAATGCCACCGTTAACATAGGTATATACACATTCGAGGTGATAGGCCTACTAAATCATTTGTTTCGATTTTGAAGTATTGGAACGGAGATATATTTAGCAAACCAAACTGAAGATGTTGTTCACTAGTGGTATAAAAGCATTAATGCAAGATAACAAGTGAAACTCTATAATTGTTGATGTATTTTTGCGAAAACAGGTTACACACTTAGGCCCCTATTTTTTGTACGACAAACAATCCTCTTAATAGAATGAGGAACAAAACAAGGAAGTAAATACAGTATTACGAAGACTGTGGGCTTTTGCTTTATAATCTCATAATCAATAGGACTCGAGCATGCGTCATAAAAGACATTTTTATTTATAGATAGGCTACAATAAGGTAATGGTATAGTAGTTTCGTTTTTCTATTGCGACTTCTACAATAATGCGCGTTTATAATAATAATAGTAATAATAATAATAATAATAATAATAATAATAATAATAATAATAATAATAATAATAATAATAATAATAATAATAATTTCTTTATTCACGGTAAAACTTGTCTCAACAGAAATTCAAAAGTTGTTTTTCAGCAAGACCGTGTCCTTAAACTACCGGTAATAATGTACATAAATCTAAATAAAATACGCATTAAACCTTAGTTAAAACATCTTAGGCCTAGATACTTGTAATACTAAACTAAATATAAAATGCGATTAAAAAAGTATAAAATACACATTAAAACTTAATTAGAATTAAAACATTATATGTACAGATATACATCAATACTGGTAATATAATAAATACACATTAACATTTTGAATTAAAACATTATATGCCGGTAAAACATCACAATAAAAATATGATAGGCATAGATAAAAATGCAATTATGGTCAATGGAACTCATTTCATTTCATTTATATCGTGTTTGTAACACAGTATAAGAACATTACAACAAAAGAGTGCTTTTAGGCGGTAGGCCTACAAGGTATAAACAAAAAAATGAATTGAATCAACTTTTGAGTGATTTTCCAACCTTCTAAAAGCCAACAGAGATAATGGAAAAAATATAATTGAAACTAAAATTGAACAGTAAGTATAATATACATGTGTTAAAAACTTCATTGTATTACAAGTGATTTTTACTTTTCCACCTGGACACCCTCTAGGAGACTTATATAGAAATATGACTCTCTGTACATATATTAACTTTCTTATCCTTAGCAATTAATGTACGGTAATCCCTAAAAACTTAAATCTTATTTTCAAGGATCATCAATCGTCGATGTTGAAGACAGATTTTGTATGGAACAGTATATTGAAATAAAATTAGACTGGGGAAAACGTAATCTTGTGACTCTTTTTTTTTCAATATCCCCATTGTATTGTAGAGGCATCACGAAGGCTCATATTCCAATATAATAATAAGTTTAGGATTACAGGATCCAATTTTTCTCATAATAAAATGAAGAGAGGATGCTTTATTTTTCATGGTCCCCTATTAAGTTTAGTATAGATTGTGACCACAAGGTACTTATATCTTTTGATCAGGACAATATCTGTCTTTATTTAGGACACACATTATTAGCAGATCTAATTGTACAGAGGGTGTCATCTTCGTATATCGTAACACAGATAGCGAGCGAGGAATCGAGGCTCTTTACAGACAAATTATGGGCTCTAGTACCGATCCTTGGGGAACCCCTAGACAATTCATGACATACTGGGTAAAAAGACCCCCTAAAGACGCCCTTTCCACTACGCTCCAGCAAGAAAAATATATCGGTAGAGCCACAAATACTAAATCCATGAAGTTCTTTTAGAAAAGGGTAGAAGAGAAATGCCTTAATGCAATCGAGAAAAACGGCATCGATTTGTCTAGGAGAGGGGAACGAGCGTTCACCGAGTGTAGTACTCCAATTATCATTATTAACCATAAACAATTACAGGGTCTCTAATCAGAACCCTTGAGTAAAACCCCTTTGAGGGAGGGATAACTTATCACAGATGATTGCTAATTTGTTTTTAAATCACTTTCAAAAACACAAACGGGTTAAGGTTCAGTCAGCTAATCTGGTGGTAGCCACTGTTTGTGCGCTGAACCGTTGAGATCTCTAAGTCCCTGGTTCAATTCCCATCGCTGCCTCTCCTTGTGTTTCAGTTGGAGGCTGAAACTACAATAGCGCACCGTCTTTCGGATGAGACGTTTTAGCCGTTGGTCCCGTGCATTTATGGCCCATGTGCACGTGAAAGAACGCAGTACACTCTTCGGAAAAGAGGGATTGTCTCCCGGTGTACTACCCAATCACCACCAGAAGGACCCCACTGGAAATAAGTCTTCTTCGAGACTTCGTGGGCTATCCTTGGTATTTCCACGGAATAAATTCAATCCAATCCAATCCAGTTCACCATTCAAGGTTGAGATGGATTACCACATACCAACTCGGCATCAGCATGAAGGCCTTGGTACCTTAAGGATAAGACATAGATATCTCATTAAGACAGGTCAGGCGAAAAAATAATTGATTTATTTAGACTTAATTACCGCGTGTTAAAGTAAAGAGCATCGAAACAGATAGTTTCGATATATATATATATATATATATATATACTGAACTCTTCAGTCGTGAAGCTGGAGGTTGATATTGAATTATCGGTTAATCTCTGAGACCTAAAGCATGTTCCAGAAAAAGTGTTGTAAATAACCATGATGTTCGAAGGGCGGAAAATAATGCACTACTGTATTAGGAAATATTGGTAAAATAAGACATTCTAGTATTGAGAACCTCTTATTAAAAGAACAGTTGTTTCGTCTTAATACATTTGAAGCAAAACCTACCTCTACCTTTACATTGACAATTGGTTCGGGGGTTCTCTCCCGGGAAATTTTGATTTCTAAATGGCAGGAAATGAGCTTTCTCGACTTCTGAGGTGTCTTTTAATGACTTAAGTCCTTCAAAGTTCAAGGTTTTCCTCCTCTTGAAAACGATTTTATGAATGAATCAATGAATCCCAAAAACCCAAAAAGAAAGGCGGGTTCGGGTTCTCCCCGGGAAAATTCTGATTTCTAAATGGCGGAAATTGAGCTTTCCCGACTTCTAAAGTGTGTTTAAAGACTTTTAAGTTCTTCAAAATTCCAGGTTTTCCCCTTGAAAACGGTCAGGTATTTTTTCTCATTCTTATTACAGTAAATAGGCCTTATGTGTGTACCGGTATTCATACTTTGCATAATAGTCTTTTTTCCATGAATCGATGATGAAGCCCAAAAAATAAGAGCCGGGTCGGTTGTCCTCCCCCGAGAAAATGTTGATTCCAAGATGGCGGGGAATGAGCTTTCCCGACTTCTAATTTTCTATTCAAGGTCTTTATTCTTTTTTCAGATAAAAATCCATAACATAATCATAAAAAGAAAGACAATGGATAAATAGCACAGCACCAGACATAAAGCCAATGATGAAAATGGAAGAAATAAAAAAAGCATATAAAAACATATTAAAAATTGAATTGAATTTTCTTAATGCAACAAAGAAAAATCAGTTAGGACCTCTGATCACCCAGATCCGAGAAAATTAACTCGGTCGGGGACTGAATAAACACTCTCTTCCCCCAGCCTCCCCTCATTCTTCCCTTTTTCATTTCTTGCATTTTTTGCCGATCATACAAAAATCTACATAGACATTATATTATTTTCTGCCAAAAAGTGGGTTCCGCCGGCCATGATAAAAACACAAAATTGCGATTTCACTTAAGTTCAGGTTGAGCTTCATAATATTGCATTAGATTATTTGGATTTTTCTTTGTGAAACACAACAATGATGGAACACAGTGGGTATTACACCAGAAGACAATCTTCAACTCTTTTCTGAAGTGTGTACTACGTTCTTTAACACGTTTTATCCGAAACACGATGAGCATTTTAATTTCCGTTTGACTGAAACATCAGGAGAGCAGTGAAATTAGGAATGAACTGGGTACCAAGATCTGAAAAGAAGGTTGAAAGTAAAGTTGAATTTGGGTCAATTGAAACCGACTATTTTGAAGTTACAGAAGGTGTAAGCAATGATGTGTTTTGTCACCGACACTCTTTTCAATATACATTAATGAGTTAGCAAAATTATTTCATTCGGCTAAATTTGGAGTTTGCATTAATGAAATGGGTTGTTCATTTTTTTGCAGATAATGTCGTACTATTAGCAAACGATGCCAATGAGTTGCAGAGCATGTTAGACATTGCAAATGATTTTAGTAACAAATGTAGATTAAGGTTTAATCACAAAAATCAAATGTATTGATTATGGGGAAGAGAGTGAATGATAAAAGTCTGGCAATTGGGTGAAGAGAATATTAATGTGGTTGACACATACAATTATTTAGGCTGCACAATACTGTATAAAGAAATGATTCAGATCATAAGCAAAAATGAAGTAATAAATCTAGGTAATAAAATAATAGGATATATTCAATCTATCCTAAACGATCAAGATGATTTTAACCGGGTTTACTACGGGGACATACTATGGAAAGCTATTGGTATTTCCTCAATTAATTATGCTTGTTGAAAGTGGTCTGGAGGTAAAAATGATATTGAATGTTTAGAACGTTTACAAATAAACCATGGCCAGATTTATACTTAGGGCACCTACACAGGAAAGGAGGTTTTATGCGGAATTAGGATGGCAATCTCTTGAGGCTATGCAAAACTGCCAGCTTATAAAGTTTGTAAAAAGGCTGGTAAACCTTGGGCGGATTGCTATAAGCGGTCTTTAGACGGTCTTCACGGTTAGCCGGCTATAATCGTGACGTCACTACTGGTCTATGATTACAGACCATTGCTATACCGCGGTCTAAACAGTAAGCAGTTTTAAATTTTAAAGCCTACTCTGAGGAGGCTTAAAGCGGTCTTAAATAATTTTCATCATGACGTTCTACTGATTAATTCAAGAGTGCAATGGCAAGACCTAGGCCTAGATCGTCAAAGTCGGAGAATCGCACGACGAATATTCCGCACACTTTTCAACGTCTGTGAAAATAGGTCTACGTTTATTTACGTTCATTTCCATACATTTGCGTGCGTCGAGCACGCATGACGTCGCCCCTAATCTTACGTTGCCAGGGAGTTTGCTTGCATTTCAATGCTCAAAGCGGTCTCAGGGAAGGTTTTATAGCAATGGTCTTTGAGGAATGACTTTAGTTTAGTAAGACCGCCTAAGTGAAAGCCGGCTTTATTAGAGACTGTTTTATAGCAATCCGCCCCTTGAAACAGATCGGTGGTCATTTAAACACTAGAAGCTATTTTAATTGCAGGAGAAAAAGTATAGGTCTAAATGCACTTGGTTAAAACAAATTGAAGAATTTTTTTCAAATGGTAATTATGATATTGAAAACATGATATTAAAAATAGCAATGTCAATGAGTCTTTATATAAAAACCTAGATAAACACAACTTATTTAAAAGTGCAATGAACATTAACTTCCTATCTGCAAATTAAATCGTTTCAAGGTATTACTTTTCTAGAGGGAAATAGAAATATGTACTTTATATGACTATTTTTAAAGGTGCAAATCTAAAATTCAACACTTTACAACTAAATGGCAAAATATTTAATTGGAGCGATGACATGGACGAGATATGTCTATGGTGCCAAGATTTAAACCATTTTTTATTCACTTGTAGAAACACTGTAATTAACACTATAATAAGTAATGAGGTAAATAAGCTTGAAAATGAATGGTATAAAACAAACCACGTTTTTATACTATAGAGTGTTTTACTGTACGAATGTAGCCTATACTGTGTTCTTTGAATGCTGTATTGTGAAAGCACCACTTGATCGCATGTGCCACTGTCATAAATGTGTACGGTTGAATAAAGTTATTATTAGTATTACATGATACAAATCAACTAAAAGGCTACTGAAGTGTGGGAGTTGATTTGGCTCGATGCAAACTAATCCCAATTACAGTATACTTTTTGAGTCACTACAGTCACGCCCAAAAGCGTGTGTAACCCGGTATTTTATTTAAATTTAAAAAGAAAATGCCTTTGTTGCTCTTTTACAGATTGATTTATTGCACATTTCTCAAGTTAAGACCTGTTTAATAATAGACATTTCCGAAGTGTCAATCAAACTTAACAACTGACTAATCAGAACAGCGCTAGGAATGCGCGCGCGTCTCACAAACACACGTGTTGTCCCACAAACGCACGTGTTCGCGTATGTTTTAACAACTGTCGCCTTGTGGGACCTTAGCAACAATATCCAAGGGGCGGGGCTTAGCGGAAAGGTCCATTGTATCTGGCACTCAACAGCGTCGACTCGTCTCTCCGTCGTTTTATGAAGTCTAGAAGCATTCATGACGTTGCCTACAGTTTTGCTGTCCTTTCCTCACGACCGAAATTTTAAGAGATGCAGAATGGTGTAAATTTACACTGTCTCTGTGTGTTCCTGTACCCACTCCAGAAAAAAAAAAAATGATACACAGTCTATTAAAGGGTAGACTGCATATACGAAACAAACAAAATAAGCGTTTGCATTCTCTCAGACAACCATGTCTCAGACATTACTGTATTTATTTATTCAGTACAACAATGCATAATTATGATTTACATTCTATAAAAAAATACTACCTTGATATAGGCCTATGCATTTCACTCATTGCGCACTTTTGAACCACGTGTGATTGGGTGTGCGCTTTGTTAATACCCGGATGCCTGCGCAGCCATGCACAAGAACACACAAGTTAGTTGTAAAAATGCATGTACACTGCATACAAAAAATATAGGCCTAATTATCGGGTATCAAATTATGACAACATTTATGCTTACCCTTTAAGAGTAAAAGCACAAACAATTAACCAATAGTGTCTAGGTTAATTTTTCACAACCCCCAAAATGATCATAAGGAGCCCTTACTACCTCTTTCCGTTAAAAACAATTAGCTTTAAGTATTTAAGATTGAAACAGCGAGCAAAAATAATGCCATCGTCGGTGTAATTATTGGCATATAACCTGAATTAAAGAGAGCAAGGCACTCGTCTGCCTCTGGTTGTTCAGCACATTGGATCGCTCTGATTCGGCTAGAGAAGGAGGAAAGAAAAAAAAATGAAAATGTAAACTATTATAACAATATATTTTCGCTATTAATAGCACTAAAATTATCATTTATAAGGACGAAATACGCTCCAGGACTCTACTTAATATATAGATTTTTGTATAAAAAGGTAATTTTGTATCTTATTTTTGTTACGGTGTGAAAACCCCAGACACTAACTTGCTAGATTTGAACTACTGTATCGAAAAGTTTAGCTATACTGGCCTACCTAACGTACGTGCAACTATTAGACGTCAGACTATTAATAGGCCTATTTATTGTGACGTACCGTACCGTAATACTAAATATAATTTAAATAGGCCAACTAGTTATTCTCATTTTTTTTTTAAATCAGTATTTTGTTTGGCAGAATTTTGTGTATATGTGGTAGTTGTGTGTGTGTTTGCTATAAAATTGATAATAACTCTGTACTTACTCTGGATTTTCTTCGCAATAAAAAGTTATATTTCGTGCTTCGATGATATTTTTCAACTCCAAGAGCGAACCGGTTCCACAATGTTCACTTCTGTAAAATAATATAACAAATATAGGCCTTTAACTAAGTGAAACAAGACGAAGATCTGCCAATGAGTGATATCATCAAGGATTAACATGATGTCACTAGATGACGTCTTCATTAGTCAAGATGGCCTATAATTGCAAATATTACTTACGTAGTTGTATTGTCACCAATATCTCTAACCAAAATAGCAGTCAGCTGGCTAACGGCACCTGTTTGTAAATTAGGAACTTCAATTTCCCTAAAGACACTGAAATGGAATACGCAATACATATTAAGATAAGTTTACACTATTGCAGATGCGAAGTAGTATACCGGTATTCTGCGCTTTTTACTTTTCAAAGTTAAGCCTTGTTCCATAACATTACTACACTGTCGCTGCAGTGTTTCATTGCGGCCCTTATACCTTAAATGCTCGAAGAAGCGCCGCTTTCAAATAAACGCCGCGGAGCTTAATAGAGAGTATTATACTACCTTGTGTGTAATGGAGCACTTTAGAAACAGTGTTTTAAATACAATGTATACAATTAGAATAAATAAATAACACAATGAATTCACGAGCATTTCGTTATAAACGTTTATTTACGATGATGAGGACCTATGATAGGCCTACTAAACTATGGGAATATGCGAGATGGTGCGAATGGGTAAGTGTGGTAATTGAAACCTAAAAAGGCATTTACTAAAAATGCTCTCAGTGAAAATACAAACGTCTATATTTATTGATTGTGCGTCCGTTTTTTACAGTGCCTATATATTGGTTTAAAAGTTTCCTACCTGCCGTTACGAAAAGACGGTCGACCAAAATTCGATGCACTTAGAACAACTTCTACTTTACCTTTTGCCGTTCTTGCAAACTGTATAATAATAATAATAATAATAATAATAATAATAATAATAATAATAATAATAATAATAATAATAATAATAATAAATATAATAATAGGGTCAAATTGAGACAAGCCAAACTGCTTCTATAAATTTATCCTTATCAATAGAATTTTGTTATTGAAATTTAATGATTTTTGTTATGTTCATCCATTGATTGAATAAATGTATATTGAATTGAATTAACAACAACAACAGCAACAGCTGAGCACTCAGAAGAGAGCATATCTCCGCCCACCGCAAAACTCTTTCTATAACATAAGCCTCCCACAAAATGTTCCTAATTTACTTCAACCACCACCACGAAGCCCCCGGAAGCTCCAGCATTCTAGACATTTACAGGTGTTATTTAATTGATTTGAGAGGCCATACATTAAAAAAATTTTTGAGTTAGACAAAGATAAAAACCAAAAAAAAACTACTACTTTACTACTGGTAATTTAACAAGAGCCACAGTAGCATGATACAAACTCCAAAGAAACCAGTAGAGTTTATTCTTTCTTTTTTATTCTTTTTAAGAAATAAGAAGTACTGTATGGCTTATAGCACTTTGGAAGTTGTATCGTATCGGGACGATCAGCGACGCTCTGCTGCTGCCCTTCCCTTCCTCATATTTTGGGCGGATAGGCCTACACGTTCGTACTGATTAAATAACAATGTTGTAACAGTTGAAAATGCACAATTTTTATTTATTTTTTTATGTTACAGGTAGGCCTAACAATCACGTTTTACTCTTTATAGCTGGCAAACAAAATGCATGCAATGTATTGGTGTTGAAATGGAAGTATTATGGAAATAGAAATATGGGGATTTGGTTTTTAGCGTCGTTGATGTAAAGATGCATTAAAAGTATTCCCAAAAAGTTCCGAAAAAAGTGAAGTTAGTACATATAGAACGCTATACACATTTACTGTAATTGCACTAATTTAAATATTCGTCAAATACCTATTGTTTCGGCACACGGTAATACGGTAAACTAATTCTCATATCCACACCCTACTTCGAATCGCGACCAAAATTGATACACTCCTTCATTAAAACATGACAAACTATGGAAAGCGTCATTTTTAACCATTGATCCAATCAAGAGATATTTATGTCTGGATCTTAATGGTCCTCACATGTACCCCCGTATTTGTATCGTCACCAGCACTTCACAATTTTTCCTTTTAATTGGGTTAAACCTTCACGAAGGTTTCAATCATATCACTTCATTATTTTTTTTAATATCTGGTCTGGGACGTTTTCCTTTGAGTGGTCCTCATATGCACACCCTACGCCGGTTGGTCACCAAAATTTATCGTGACCAGCGCTTGATAATTTATTCCTTGTAACTTCTTTAAACTTCCAGGAAAGTTTCATTCATGATACTTGAATAGTTTTTGAAATATCTTGTCTAGGACAAAATCCTTTAAATGATCCTCACATCCACACCTAACCCGGAGAGTCACCAAAATTTAATCACCTCATCCTTGGGTCATACCTAACAATCCCTGTAACTGGAATTTACATATGTGCAGCCGTTTTTGAGATAATTTGTACACGAAAAAAAAAATGAAACAGCAAAGCGTTACTAACACACACACACACACACACTTACAAACACACGAAACGAAAACATATATCTCCTGGCGGAGATAATATTAATGATAATGATGATGATGATGATGATGATGATAATAATGTGGACCCATTTTCATAAAAGTTTACTCATTCTACGCAAAAATATGAAAAATGTGGACCCATTTATTTAACATTTTACCCATTTTAAGCTAAATAGGGCATATCAGAATTCTGGACACATTTTTCAAAAGTGGACTCATTTTTTGCATAAAACTGCATAATTTGGACCCATTTTTTAAAATGTGGACCATTCTTTGTGGACCCATTAGGACAATTGTGTGGGACTGTCCCAAATGTCTCAATAGCTGGCTACGGCATTGCCTACTACTACTACTACAATTGGCAGAGTAGTTCAGTACCGGTATGTTTTGCAGCAAGTACAACCTCAATAGTGCTTCAGACACTGATCAGAGCTAATGATGAGATGAGTCTTTCGGAAGTGAGATGACATGACGAACTTCCCGTTTCGTCGTCATGTATTTCAAAATGTTGTCATACAACCAGTCAAATACAAATTTGTGTATCATAATCAACACAAGTAATTGTCATTACAATCAATGTCATCATTGAAGACAGTATCATTGCACTATTATTATTATTATTATTATTATTATTATTATTATTATTATTATTATTATTATTATTATTATGTCGTTGAAGTGGTGACTGACTTTTTTTCATTCCACTTTCTAAAGTGTTAATCCCACCCCTAAAAGCTTAAAAAGAAAATTATTCTAGTAACTTACAGACATCGAAGCCTTGTTCCAAAAAATGCTAGACGTGGAATTTGAACAAATTGGACACATATCAAAGTTAAAGCCAGGAGACTCTGTTGAACCGCAAAATGTTACGCCGTTCATCATATAACCGATGAGGGAGTCTTCCAACGATTTACGTTCAGTAAACAAGGCATATTCGTGAGCGATTTTGAATGGTCCTGACCAAAATAATTGCTAATTTGGAATAGAAGATAATAATAAATATAAAGTCAAAAAGATCAGTACAGGAGAGATCATAGTAGCAGTTGGTAAAGTCTTGTGGTGGCGCTAGTGGGGTGGATTCCCTTTCGTTAAACACACGTCAGAGAGAAAGTTGTTTTTTTTTTTTTTTTTTTTTTTTTTTTTTTTTCAAATTCATTGTCGGAGATTCGGACGCCCCGTGTACCCTCTACTTTTCCGGAAACGAACGCAGAAAAGAGTAGGGAATTGTTTCCCAGTGTATTTACCAACAATTTACCAACAGAAGGACCCCACTCTGGTTTAGACAAGTTGTCATCGTCGACGACACCGTCACGTTAACGGTCAAAGTCATGTGTAGGCCTATCTTCTCTCTTCCATCGTCGTCACCGTCAGCCACCAGCCAATTAGGTCTACTGAGTGGCGTCATAAATATTAGGCCTATCAAGTTATTCTCCTCTCTTTCCTTACCGTTGTTACCGTCAACGACTGTCAGGTCTAATATAGAATAAATATTCATCATTGTCATCACACCATGGTTCTCCTCCACTCGTCTCGTTTTGTCGTCAATTACATCATCATTATTTTACTTGATTCACTCTCATAAACAAATCTAATGGTTCACAAAAGGAGAAATAACCTATTTGGGGTGGGGGGTGGGGCACAGATGTTAAAATCCGCAGACGTGGGCCACAACGCACTCCTCATTGCATCCCATCATCTCGCACAATGATCCACATTTATACTTACCATATCTGGGGGTAGGTCCTGTTTTCCTTCGTCGACGAAATCGTCAAACGCGTCTGGTCCCAAAGAACACGGTTCGTGGTATGTAACTTCTGTCGTAAATGTGTTGATGAGGGATGTGCAATTAAAACTTTGAAAACATTGAAAGAATGAAATGAAGTGTCACCTTAACAATAAATAACTAAAGGTAGTAGGTTTTCAGTTTTATCTATAAGTATTACTAATGTGTTTGTTGAATAGTCAAAAGTCAATTGGTCATAGAAATTTTAATTTTTTTTTTTAAATGACATTAATCAGGATTATGCCCAAAACCTAATGATTAGGTCATAACAAGAAACTTGCTGAAGAGCACATAGTGGTTAACGGAAGTGGTTGTTAAATTTTGAGGTGAAAGTGTCAAGGTCATTTTTTTTAATTACAGTATACCACAGTAGGCCTATTCGTTATTCTTATACCTTCATGTTCAGAAAAAGGGTGGAAGTATGTACTCAATTGAGTGACCGCTAAAGTATTATAAGTTTTTACAACACATATTTTCAACATATATTTTAAGTATTATGATATTCACCTTGGCCTTAGGGCGGGGCCACAATAAAAGTTACTATTAACAGGTTTTATACACTGGATGTACTCATGGCACCTTCCTTCCAGGATCTCAAGGATGTTCATAGTCGTACCAGTTCCAGTCGCGCATACGACCAATAGCAAGCTAGCAAAAATCGGCATCAAGAATATGGCAGCCATTCTGGCACGTATTTCTGAAATGCAAAAATGGTTAATGCATAATTTTTCATCAAAGTAATAGGCCTTTTCACTAAGCCCCGCCCCTTGATCTGTTACTAAGGTCCCACAAACGACAGCGTAAATGTACGTAAACACGTGTTTGTGGGACGAGCACGTATTCCTGGCTCTGTTATGATTGGAAAGGTGTTGATAATGGATATTCATTGACAATTGACAATCCGTGTCCATTCTGAATGATACAGTATGCGCCTTAAATCACACAACACCCTATCTAGAGCCAAGGTCAGGTTGTATCCATTTCGCAACCAGGATAAGGGAAGGAAATACCTTGGAATACTGTAGTACCTGGCAGGAAGGCTGCTCAATAGAATATTTAATATGATATCAAGTGAACATACCAAGGATGTAATGTTGACTTATGATATATAGGCCTAACAAAGATCTAGACAAATTATGTCGATGATTTACCCATAATAGCGTTGGTGGTTGGATGTCTATTTCAGTGCCTAAGATAATATTACTACTCTATTGAAACTGTGATACAATACGAAAATCACTTTCGATGACTTCTCGGAAACAAAACCCTTTCCTGTCACTCTCCATCGACTGTGTATTTATTTATTCCTTCACATATACACCGTAGAGAACTAGTCAGCCATTACATCCCCTCCCTATGGGTGAAACGTACCGTGATTAGGCCTGCACTATAGTAAGGTTTGGACAGTAGTGTTTGGGGCCCTTAATATCGTACTAGCCGTGCTATATATATAAATGCTATAGGCCCTATATTTGACCCTTTTGTGCTTCGATGTTATGAGCTCTCTCACTGATTAAAGCCAGGGGCACGGGACCATAAGGGGCCCGGGATATTAGGGGCCTGATGGGCATTTTTCCCAGAACATGGACCACCCAAAAAATCGGCCGTTAATAATCAGAACGTGTAACAATAATACATTAAATCGCTGAAAAACATGAAACGGGCGGGAGCTTCGACACATCTCACTCGGGCACTGTCGTGGCTCCAACCTGAGTATAATGGACCAAAGCACCGTAGCCAGGGTAGGCCCCATACTCGGGCCTCTTCGTTACGCCGTTATACAGAATATTTCAAGTCTATTTATATTACAGCTCTTATCATTGGGTATACGCAGAAATGAACATTGATCACATATCCGTCAACATACAATATACGGAATTGCGCCTCTCTACCAATAACATTCATGTATAGCTGTGTCATAGTCTCCTCCCGCCGTGTGCCGCGAATGTGGGAGTAGCAGCTAATTTTTAAAATGAGTGTTCTATTAAGCAAATTATAGAAAAATATAATATGGACAACTCCTTACCGTGAATGTCACCTTCTAAAAATAGTAGCCAACTGCTAACAACAGCCAACCGACTTGCTTCCACCGAAAACGGGGAATTTCTTTTCACAACTATCAACGATAACAGCACTGTTAAGAGAATTAGGAAGTAGCCTATGTTATGATGGCGCTTTCTGATTGGCTAAGCAAGTGATGAATTTAACCACGGAAGAGTAAATACAGTACTGTATTTTATAATACATTTTCATGATTTCACTCAATGATGCAATCATGGAGAGTTATGTGGTAATAAAACAGGAAACCCAGTTTTCTTTCAAAGCAATTTTAAAGCAGTCAACCTTAGCAATTTTTAAAAGCATTGTTATAAACAAAACACTGGTAACTATTAAGAAAACATAATTGCAACTAATTTAAAATCGATATTTACAAACAATTACAATATTTATAGTCTGTTGAAGCACGCTCTTTATGGGATAAGAATGTTATGGTGTGACTTCCTATTGAATTTCTATTTGGAATATGTTTGAATGGTTTGAATTTGAATTTAGTGGGTTTGAATTCTTGTTGAATGGATTGTTTGTTATTTTTGGCGGACTCGGCCTTCCATAGTATTGTTTTGTAAGAAACCGGGTAGTTTGACGTTCGAAAATTTAATTAGTGAAATTTATCAAAATATGATTAAATTTACTTGAAGTACACTGTGTACTGCCTGATGGCAGGAAATGAGCTTTCCCGACTTTTAAAAAAATTTCCTGAAAATGTAGTCTAGATTTTTTTCCCTTTTTTTCCGGGGTGGGGTCAGGACCCCCCCCCCCCCCCCCCACAGATCCGCAGTTGTGAATTGCGAGTAAATGTAACTCGGTTGGGGCGGGACTAGATAAACACGATCCCTTTCCCCTCCCTCTCCTCCTTCTTCCCTCTTTCTTTTCTTGCATTTCTTTCCGATCACACAAAAATCTGCATGGACTTTATATATTTTCTGCCAGAAAGTGGGAGACCCGCCACCCCCCCCCCTCTACCTCCAGTGCAGTGCAAAACTAAAGTGGCACAGTGCAAAACTAAAGTGGCCCAATGCAAAACTCAACCACTTGACTTTCCACTTGTTTTTGTCCGTTTGGCATTCCATATACAGCAGTGCAAAACTCGGTGCAAAACCTGAGATCAGTGCAAAATCTGAGATTCAATGGGGCCCCGACATTTTTAAACAAGAAAAGCTGGGTTCTGATGTATGACATTTGTTTCTGATTTTGTATTGCTTTGCATTGTATATTCGTTATTCAAACATGTTTTTTTTTCTCACCAAAATATTCTCTGTATTTATTTACACCTAGGCTTACTGTAGGCTTAGGCCTATACCCAGTTCCGATATCAAGCACCTTGATAATTTTGGAAAGGCGTATATATATATATATCAAATTGATTGCCAAAGAAGCTGACACAAGGTTTGTGATTTCACCTACTTCATGAAACCTGTAACTTTGAAGCATCTGCGCTGGCTGCTGATCATGTTCATAAAATACAAAAATAAATGGATAGTAAAATATATATTTGTTAGGCTTATATGATTTCATGTGTAATGTAAATACATATGTATAAATTAAATATCATATTATATATGTATAAATATATATATATATATATATATATATGTGTGTGTGTGTGTGTGTATATAGGCCTATATTATATATATATATATATATATATAGTTGTTTCTAGGTATATCATTTATGCTTATATAAAATCATATTTAAATATGTATATATCCATATTTATGAACTGCGCAGGGACATCAAAGAAAACTAAAGATTTCACGTGAAGAATGGTTATGTGTTTACTATTCGTTTATTTCTTTAATTGTGTTTCCCTAATTCTCTTGGTATGTTTTATCCAAACTCTGGAAGCTGCAAGAAAAATAAATACATTTATTGTATAGAAACATCAGATTAAATAATGTAATGATTATTGTTTTAACTAAATTATGAAATAGATTTCAGATGGTAACAACATTCAATTCATTCAATTAAAATCGAAGATACATTTTATTGACCATAATTATTAAATTATAGTATGAAAATGCAACAAAAAGAATAGCATGAAGCACATACTATTACCTGTCTCTTATACACATCTAGATGTTTATACATATACAGTATAATATTATATATAATTTATACATATTTATTTACATTACACATGAAATCATATAGGCCTAGCAAATATATATTTGACTATCCATTTATTTTTGTATTTTACAAACATGATCAGCAGCCAGCGCAGACGATTCAAGGTTACAGGTTTCATGAAGTAGGTGACGTGAACACACGTGAAATGGTGAACTGCACTAAAGTGCACATTTGTAAAAAATAAAAATAGCACCAAGTGATATAGTAACAATAATAAAATTTAATACTAATATAAAAATAATTGTTAATAAACTAATGTTACAGTATTATAACTAACGATTTGGCTGGTATTTCCTGATAAAAAGTTTGATTTGTATAAATATTTGTTATGTAGTAGTAGGAAGCGTAGAATCGATAACAAAACGGAAAAAACCCTGTTCAATAAAAGAGTGAAATGGTACTAGGAATGCAACAAACTAGAAAATAACCTATAAATACCATAATAACAAACTAGAAAATAACCTATAAATACCATAATATTATTATTGAAATTTAGTTTAGTAATAATAGTATTCAATTTATTTGCTTTTAAGTAGCCTATGTTGTTACTTAGTAGAAAGACAACAAGACAAATAAAAAAAGTATGATAAACCGATTGACGAACTCACAATGATAATTAGGCCTAGTTATATTAAATATGCCATTTTCGCAACTTCATTGGCGCTCATATATTTGTTGAAAACAAACCGCGACAGAAACGAGGCGCGACCAAAACGAAGCGCGACCAAAATGATCTGTATTCGGCTAGGCCAGGCTCTCCGAGATTCAGTCTCAATACTATATAATAGGCTAGGCCTCTTTTCTAGGCCTATTCCTTGCCTTCCTTGGACTAGCTAAATTATCCTAGCTAGGCCTAGGCCGGCCAGAATTATTTTTTTTCTCATACGCTTAAGGCAGAAATCACAGAGGGCCTATTCTAGGTCAGTTAGTTAGGTGAACTGATAAACATGAATATGCATGCAGACTTCCCCTCGCGATTCGTGAAAGCAGTGTTCGCTGCGGTTTCTGGACAAAACGGCAATAAACGAAAACAGCAATAAGTCAAAACGGCAATGACCAAAACGGCAAAAAATCAAAACGGCAACACTTTTTGACCAGAACGGTAATAGATGAAAACCGGCAATAAGTCAAAATGGCAAAAAAATGCTAACAAATTTATGTCATAAAAATAAAAATGCAAAAAAATAAACTAATTATAAACATGAAAGTGTACTACGATAAAATACGGTAAAATAAGGCTAAATAGCAGCATCAGCAGCAATAATATCATTAACAATAATAATAATAAAATACTATAGTCAAACAAATTCAATATTAAAAATATTGGGGGGTGTGGGGAACAATATAAAAGTAGTAATACATTTAAACAAATAAAACTTTCAAATACAGACAAAATTTAATAGGCAAAACAATTTATGTCATAAAAGTAAAAAAATGCGAAATAGTAATAATAATAATAAAAACATTGAAAGTGGGAAAAAGAGCCCATGGCAATATCCAATTTGCCTATCGGGACAATTTCAAAACAATTCAGAAAATTATAACTGCGGCCCACGCCTGCTGCCGCTTGCTAGTCTTTGCATTGATTTTGCTCCTTTGCCATTTTGGTTTATGCCGTTTTGGTACTTGTCATTGCCAGTTTGGTCTGTTGCCATTTTGGTGTCATTGCCGTTTTGGTATCATGGCAAATTTCCGATAGCTTTAACATCGGATATATATCTCCCAAAATATACATGTTGAATCATAATCTAATAATAAGTTATACAGAAATTATATCAATATCAGTAAATTCATTTAAATGTCACATGTTGTGTTGCTGAATCAAACCTTGCACAGTTTGCATACTGCGCTAAAAACAGTTTGAAACAAATTTGAAACAATATCAGCAACTCAAAATAAGCAAAAGGAACAAGCTGCACACAACATAGTGTTAGGAATCAACAAAGAAAATAAAATTCTAAGAAAATTCTATTTTTATTAAATTATTAATGTCATTTTCACTCTTTGGATGTTGCAAGCAAGCATGCTAGGCCAAGAAAGTGATAGAGTGTGGAGACACTCCCTCTGTTGGCATACAGATAGGTCTATGAATTTTACGTTTACCACTCAGTGTTGCTACGTTAACCTTTGGGAATGTTTTGCGGTTTTGAATGGATGTAATAATTACTCTGCCAGTTTGACTTGGTAAACATTATAGTTGCCTAAAAGTAAGACAGTCGAATGGATTGCATCCTATAAAATGCGTTTTTCTTTCGTTCTAACTTCTACGTTGACTTGCTGAACTACTGTGTGTTACTGTCAGCGTCCATTGGGCAACAGACAAACTGCACTAGCGTTGGTGTAATGAAGCTTTCACTTTTTTGGCCAAGCGCGCTCGCACTTACACTGCACCATCTGAAGAGATGTGACGAAAATGACTTAGGTTTTAATTTTTTTTGTTGAGTCATGTAACTCTGCCATGTGAATTTCATCCATGACACCAATACAGAGTACAGTAGTCTTCTGTGCACTCTGTTTGTGCATAGGCCACAAGCAATATGTTCATTGCCAAAAAACAACTCCACTCCCTAGGCCTCAGTAAGAGACTTGGCATATAAAGCATTGTTTGTTTGTTTGTTTGTTTATTGGTTTTTTTTCACACAAATAAAATTAGTTATACAATATAATGGGAAAATAATGAAGGTATTGTTATTATCTTAAATAATATACAGCAGTACTCATTAAATAAGGTAAAATATGGGTATAAGATAAACAGGAAATTGCATACTAATAATAGTGATAATAATAAAAAAGCAGTGAAAATTCATTATAGATTAAATGAAGGATTTTATCCTGTTCCATCCTGTAAAGTGGCAAGTGTACAGTACTTGCTGTAGGATGTGAAGAAAATTTAAAAAATATATATTTTATTATCCTGTATAAATTTTCTTGCCCAAGAACAGAAGGAAAATGCACATTGAGGATTTTAACGTCTAACCTTTAGATTAGCCTGCAACCACTACACCAATCACTCCCACATACAGTATTAAAGAGTTGTATAAGAGCCTTGAGTATATATAGATCAAACAATCAATTTACAAGACTTTTTCAAAACTTTTGATGTTTCAACATAGGTGGTGTTCAAGCTCTGTTTTTGCGAATTACAACTTGAGTGTAAATGGAATCACACTATGATGAAGCTTTTCCCTGTGATCGTTCAGAATGGAGCAAGATTGCAAACTTGATGCCCTGTGATCGATCTGATTGGAGCAAGATCACAGCCTTGATTGAAGAACTTGGCAACGTTCTTAACATCAAACAAGCGTTGCAAGTTCTCTTGAAAATTAGTCAACAAGTTCATGGTACCAAAGAAGCTTCCGTTCCTCATCAACTCTTGGAGGTGTTCCTTCTGGAGTGTACAACTGAAGATGAGCAATTTAAGATAGTACATAAGATCCTGCCTGTTATTGCAAGTGCTGCTGGATCGCTAAAACCAAATGAAAACTTACCAATCATCAAGCAACAAAGTGGTAAGAGAGAATACTGATAAAGTTTGGTCCACACTATCAAATTATATGTGACAAGTAACTGTGATATGCCCATATTTGGTTGTAATATGACATCATCATGTCCATATATGGACACATCACACAAGTTTGTGACAAACTCTGATAGTGTAGACAGACACCTTAAGATCATATAAAAATTAGTTACCATTTCCTCCCTACCAAGGTAAAAAGCCATTGTCTTTGGTAACAACCTCTGGCAATGATCAGAGTAAAAATTACTCAGTGAGAAATCTTATTGAGATTACTTCAACTATGCCAGCCATTTGGTTAGGTAAAGCTACTGATACTGTATTATTATTATTATTATTATTATTATTATTATTATTATTATTATTATTGTTATTATTATTACTACTACTACTACTATCTCAGTTAGCAAAACTGGTAGTAGCACTGGTTTTATGCACGCACTGAGACGTTTAAAAAAGTACTACCGCTAGATAAGGGCCCCTATTCACGAAAACCTTTTACATTCTTTTGAGGGATGCGCTATTAGTTAGTGATAGTACTTTTTTTGAGATAGGATTGCATTCCAACGAAACTTTGTGATCGGGAGCACCTTGCAGTTCTATACTCTTTGGTGGTAGCCACTGTGTTTGTGGTAAACTGTGGAGATTTATTGTTAGCCTTTGGTACCAAGTTCAATTCCATTTGCTTCTCTCCTTGTGTTTCAGCTGGAGGGCTGATGCATGTTTACATCAGCACATTGACTATGTTTTTTAGATGAGATATTTTGGTCCTTTTGATCCATATGGCCCATGTGCTCATTAAATGCAAATGCACTCTTAATATAATCAAGGACTTTTAACCTACCAGGATAGGCAGCTGGCTGGTTTAAGCTGTATAACTTGAATTAGCCTTATGTGTGGAATTGTTTATGCTAATGAGCCGGATAAGCACAATCTGATCATGCTCAGAAAAACAAAACTTTCCTTAGTCACAATGCATATAGGCTAGGCGTATAGCTAGGCCTAGCCGAGAATTATGGTATGGTAAAACAAAGCAAAATATTAAGGGTACTAATTTCACTTGGCATGCAATCAATCATACTTACACACTTAAAAACAAACTAATCTACCAATAAAATCACCTGCTAGTTAAGATATAAGGCAAGTATGTTTACAAATTTGATTTTAAATTGATGTGGTTTTGTTTTGTAGTATTAAAATGAACATCACATAGGCTAGCCTAGGCCATGTCTAACCGCTTATAAAAATGCAGAAAAAAGACCCAAAACAAATTAGAATGAAGTTATCAACTAACCAGTGCATTAAAATTATTCATATACTTACTACTTACCTATATAAAATTAAAGTGTATTGCTCACAAACGCCAATATTTTTTATTTTAATACGCCTTTTCCACGAATCGGTAGACATCTTGAAGTGATGACAAACAACCTAAGTCAGTGGAGCGTAACAACCAAAAATAAGATAAGCTAGGCCTAGCTGCTGTACGCCTAGCTGATACGCAGTGTGGCTAAGGAAAGTTTTGTATTTCTGAGCATGTGCTAATTGTGCTTATCTGCCTCATTTGCATAACAATACCGCACATAAGGCTAATTCAAGTTAGATGGCTTAAACCAGCCAGCTTCCTATCCTGGTAACAGTTAAAAGTCCTTGATATAATAAGAAGGAAATTGTCTTTCGGTGTACTGTCAATTTACCATCATAACAACCCTACTTGTCAAAAAGTTTTTGCCTAGTACATTATCCTTTAAGTGTTTCGTCCAAAAATAATTCTTAAATCCAATCCAATCAATCTGAAAATATTTGCAAATGGAAGTGGTGAACAAGTGTTAAGGGCCTTAAATGATTTGGCTGTATTACGTTTTTAATTCATTGATGAGTGCTTTAAATTTAATTTTAAGTAAATTATTTCAATTATTTCCTTCAGTGCTTTGACAATTGTAAATATCCTGATACACAGTGGTGTTTCTACAGTAGTCTTGAAATGGGCGGAGGGGGGATGATGGTGGGGGGCTCAAAGGTTAAGTGGGATCTCAATGATTAAGTGATTGATGCTAGCTTGCAAAATAAGGGAATATGAGGTGATTTTCATACTGCTGTACTTGAGCGTGATTTTTTTTTTTTTTTTTTTGCTTCAAACCTTTTTATTGGTGTCGGGAGCATGCCACTAGATATACCACTGCAATACATAGATAATATTACTATTAAATGCCAACATATTGAATATATTTCAGTGGCAATTGACCATTGTTCTTTTCATATCTCGATAATGATTTGTTACTCTCTAAATCACAAATATAAAAAAAATCACTGTAAAGTTTATCTGGGTTCAGAATAAATTATTTATAAGAATATAAATGAGTTAGTTATGTTTCGTATAAATAATTTATAAGAAATATAAATAAATGAGTTAGTTTCATATTAAATACAACTAACAATTTATTTCATTATTGTCAAGAGCATGCACAGGATCAGAATAAATTATTTGTAAGAAATTGTAAGAATTAAAAAATAAATGAGTTGGATAAATCATTTATTTATAAAAAATGAGTTACTGTAGTTGTAAATAATTTTTGATAAGAAATATAAATATGAGTTCATTTTGAATACAAATTAATTTCATTTTTGTCATGAACACAGTCTTGATCAGTATAAATTATTTATAAGAAATATAAATAAATGAGTTAAGTAGTTATGCATTACAGGTACATAAATAATTTATTTATAAGAAATATAAACATATGAGAATTAGTTTAATTTTAGGACAAATTCATTTCATTTTTGTCATGAACACAGTCCTGATCTGAATAAATTATTTATAAGAAATATAAATAAATGTGTTACAGTAGTATAAATAATTTATTCAAGAAATATAAATATATGAGTTAGTTTCATTTCGGACAAATTCATTTCATTTTTGTAATGCACATAGTCCTGATGAGAATAAATTATTGGTAGTAAATAAATAAATGAGTTAAATTATTTATTTATAATAAGAAATATAAATAAATGAGTTAGATATACTTATTTATAAAATATAAATAAATGAGTTGGTTTTTAATTTTAAATACAAATTCATTTCATTTTTGCCATGAACACACATCAAGCTTGCATATTGCAAACCATGCTCCTTCTTTTGTTTTCTAAAACAGATATATACATTTCTGTATTAGATTTACTATGTCAATTGTAATTATTAGCCAGCCAGGAATAGAAGATTACATATTTATGGTACAATATGAGAGTGCCATTTCGAGCCATCTCCTGTAGAAGTGCCAAAGACAAGATTAAATACCTATAGTAAGCCCCAACCATGGTGGGGCTGAGGTGATCTGGACCCTCCATCTGTAATTGACTTTCTGGGCTTATCCCCCTTTCTCCCACCCTTCTATTTTGAATTTCTGGATCCTGCCATTGTACATGATGATTTCTATTCCTGTTTTAACATTTAATTTTCTGTTTACATTCTCTACATTTACACTAGGGGTGGGCATAAAAATCAGTCGGAGTGCCAAAGTGAATTTTCGATATTAACACTGAGGTCCGCAACCAAACTTTGATGTTTCCAGCGACCTTCCAAAAACCTCCAAGCACTGCTTTTACACAACTTTATTCTGAGTTTTAATGTTACTTTTTACACATGATCAGTGTCAGGCCGTGAATAACAAGGTGTTTCTAGCCAATGTTGCTTGGCGGGCCGCACACGTAGGGTTTTTAATTTCTATTCTCGGGCTGCAAAAAAATCACTGTCGGGTCGCATGCAGTCCGCGGCTGCACTTTGCCCACCTGTGATGTACGTGAACATAACATGATTCCATAGGGGTTTCTCTCGTTTGGCTAAAACCAGATTTTTTAGCGAACACCTTCTAATAAACCGAAATACCCTTTGCCCTATTAAAGTGAATAGAAATTCACTAATTGCTTTTCTTGATCATTTCTTCAAACACCTCTTCATTGTTATTTATTTGTATAACATATCAAAAATGTTTCTCCTCCTGATCAAGGCTTCGAAATAAGTTCCAATCCTATTAAAGCAATGAACTTACTATTATGGAACACCACATGCTGTTAATTTTTGTTGGTTGGGTGGCCCTTTAAGCTGAAATGATTAGTAACCACATTGAAATGGCTTCTCGGATATATTGAACTCATGAGCCAATTTATTCTGGAGGCCATTATGTTTGCAATATAAAAAGATGTTCATCAAGGAATTGAAGACTTACAGTACAGTGTAGCATTATCATATCGATTACAAAAATGAAGATTAAATTACATGTCCCATTTTTTTCCCCGATGATATGATAAAATTTATTATGTATTGTATGTAATTTATTAATCACCATAGCAACTGGATGCTTGCATTCAGAAATATTACTAACGAGACTTTAATCTATGTAACATAGTTCATATCTGCCTTTTATGCCAAATTCTAAATTTGAACCGTCCCAGTAACCATGGAAACAACAAATTATTATCAGTAATCGATCTGTTTTTGTGTTTGTTTTAGAAGCATCTTTTGGCACAACATCTACGAGCATTGCAGTTGACCGAGACTTGCTCATCAGCATTATCGCTAACTGTGTTCTTTGTACAATACCTCTATCTAGGTTGGTACCAGTTCACCCGCTCGTCAAATTCTTATCTAGGTAAAATTTTTTTCTCTTCCTTTCGAATAGGCATATTATTTGGTGTAACATAATATTATGAAAGATTTTTTGTGGATTACTGTAGCGGAAAACAAACAACAGTTTGATATTGTCAAAAAAGTAATGAAGTATTAATGATAACGATAATAATCCACTTATCTATTTATGTATTTTATATATTTTTTTTTTTTTTTTAAACTGTTATTAACTGTTTTGATCACTGATAGTTTTCAAAATGAACTAAATTTCTTTTTTTAAATAGTAAATTTGTAGCTCACATCACGAACTACCACAATCAAAGTAGATTGTGTTAGTTCGTGAAATCACAGTAGCGCGTCAAAATGAGCGCGTATTGGTTGTCAAGCAATTTTGTATTCTTTACCACACAAAAAGTCCTTAACGACAACAGCGCGTATTTTGATTTCACGAGCTGCGACCCCCCCCCCTTTTTTTGGAAAGTTAAAAAACACAAAGAAGAAATACAGAAAGAAAAAAACAGAAATGATTGATTGCCCAAAACGTCTCAGAGATTATTTTCCATTTCGATCCGTCCCACTATTGGGATGGTTAAGTGCTTTAAATTTATAAAATTTAGGATGAAATATACATCTTATTTTTAGACATTTCAAATCAGCGTTGGGCACAATAAAAATTAAGAAAAACTTCTGAACTTCTGAAATTTCCATTTTTTTTGTGCCGCCAGGTGTGCTAATTGGCCAAAATTTTGGCCGGTTCGCTAAACAAGGTATAATAAAAGTTAATAGTTGATTGCATGTGATTTTAAACTATGAGTTTATCAATGTCATGTCATACCCCAAATGATTGCCCTTCTGTTTCCCTGCAGCTCAAATGGACTACTTTCAAATTCACATAGAGTGGAGAAATTACGCTGTATTTTCAAGTTCTTTGAGGTAGAAGTCAGTGGTGAAGTGAACCAACCAAAAGGTTCGCAAGTCGTCTACACATACAAGGTAAAGTGAAGGCTCATACAGTACTATATTACATTTCATTTATTTTTTATCAAATTCATGGACAATACAAAGACTATGTAAAGAAAAAGAGCAATCATTAACAACCCGGCGGAATAACCAAAAAGCAAACAAATCACTGTTGAGTGGTTCTCCAAGGATGAAAACAAACAAAGAAACCAAAAATATGCGTAATGTATTATATATAAATTAATATACTAGTATCTTGATTCAAAAATATCTATAATCAAAGGTTTAAATATAGAAATAGCAGGAGCAAATAATTTTAAAACTTAAAATTTAAATATTATACCAGTTTTTCTCAGTTAAGATAAAAAAAACTTAGTATTATTTATTACTCAAGCCTGGTCGACCCAAAATCTTTAAAATTCAGTCTAAACTTTTTTTTTTAGCAAAAAAGTAGAATTTCTTCTACCAAGGATAAGCTCAAAATACTTGTTTGACATTTAAAAATGCCCCATTTTTGCCTTAACTTTATACCATGTCCTAAGGTTAAATACTGTACAAGGGAAGATAAATGATTGGCAATAAACCCTAGAATTATGCCTGTGCTAGCCTATATAACATAATACAGTATAGACACCTCCTTTTGAACACCTCTAAGGAGATGGAACCCCTTTTTTACTGCAAAGTTTGGAAAAAAATTATGTTTCAACATTACATCCAACCCCTATTTAGGGAACACAGCAAAAAATGGGGACACTTTAGTCCCAAATGTGTTCCCATATATAGGTTCTACTGTATTTTTTTAATGGTGCCTGACAAACCCTGATTACAAATAATACTACAGATGAGTAGTTAGGCAACATAGCTATTTTCTTTTACCTAAATAGACTTAGCTATATGTCTCAGTAAAATTGTTAAAGGTAATCCTATTGTATCCTGCTTTTAGTGCAAAGAATGTTCTGTAACAAGATTAATATGAGTACATTTCTCATGTCTATAGATGCATGATGCATAGTGTGTCTTGGGCTTCCAAGCTCCAATTGATTAAGCTGTGGGTTCAAGGAAAGTCACACTGATTATATCCTTGGGCCAGGTATTGTTATCTGTATTTCTCTCTCTCAACTATGGTGAAAAGATCTAGGAACACGTTATTCCACTATCAAAATTTTGACCATCTTTGTTTCTGGTACATCACAGAAATAATAAATTAATTTTAGTGATATTTCTTCATCGGATTTCGCATGTTCAAATGCTTGACGAAGTCGACCTGGGAAGTATGTCCATCTGTTGTTTTCAATTGTGACATCACAAGATGAACGGCAATCCTGGCTAAGCTACGGTAGATGCCATGCACGTACTGTAACACTATTCAAGTAACAATGTCTACACAAATAGTGTATGATTTTGACAGCTGCACTGAGGAACATGAGAAAGAAATATCACTTTTCGATAGGTAAAGAGAACGACAAAGGAACCATTGAAGATACAAATGACCAATAAAATGAAAGAAATTTTGACAAAATATAGCCATATATTTATGAGCCTGAATGCATATATAGACTTCTGGCAGAGCTTGGCACGTTTAGGCTATTTTAAGCTGTTCTTGGATGTATTATAATGTTAAATGCCCAAAGAGTTTAAAAAGAAAAAAACACAAGAGGGGACCTCACCCTTACTGACGGAGAGGCTTAAAGCACCCTTCCTTTTGCCTTTCAAATCGCTTACGTAATTCCAAAATAGTAACAAGGAAATGGTGTTAATGGGGACAAATCATAAAAGTATGGACTGTGTAATATAGAGTTTGCCAGGGCTAACTATTAAAAACAAGGTACCAAGGTATTTAACAATGTACATGGCTTACTTTATTGCAGTTTATTGTTTAAAATGTTTAGTTCATGATTTTGCATTTCATTCATCCAATAAAAAAAAATTTCCAGAAAAATAGTGATTGTCTATTTCTACAGTACTTCTGGTCATAGAAAAATAAATAACAGTACTGTGTTAATGGGGGTGCATTATACATAAAATTAATAATAATAATAATAATGAAAACACTCTTATCTGCTGTTTTCATATTTCACATTTTTATAAGCACTTTACAATTCCTTTATTATCATGACAATATATATATCAAAATGAAATCAAACATCTGTTAATTGTATTTAAAAATATAACAATGTAGAATTGATAGACATCCCTTGAAAATCATTTCTGAAATGTGATTGGTTAAGTGCAGGAAGTTATTGCTGATAAGTACCTAACTATGTCCCTCAGCGACAAGAAATACAATAAATTATTGATGAAGCTCATGCCAAATACTTATAATACGTTTTGTATTAAATATATTTATATTTTCAAACAGTCCGTAACTATATTATATATTAATATGCAGTTGCTAACCTTTAGAATGTTATTTAATACACATAAAAAGACGTCAGCTCATGCCAAAATTAGTCAGGAATTTGCAAATTACCCCAGCAAAATTAAAAGTTTATGTAATAGAGTGGCTGCTCATAATGGAAGAATGAGAGCAAGTTCTATTTTTATTTTCGACTGTCAAAACTTGTCAAATTTCTGACTCTACCTATGTAAATAACGATGCAAATTGACTTACAAATATGTCAATAGAATATTATATAATGTAGTGGAGTGTCTGGTCACAGTGGGAGATCAGGAGTATGTTCCATTTTTAATTTCATCTGTCAAAACTACAATTTTCTTACTAATAGATTTGGAAAATTTCCCCCGCCCTTGTCCCCTACTGTCCAAAGGCTAGCTCTACAGTTCTGATAAAGTGTCTGGTCACAGTTGGAGTTTATGAGTATGCTCCCTCCTCGATATTGTCTGTCAAAACTACAATTTCCTTCACTAAAATAGATTCGGAAGTATGCCCCCTTGTCCCCTGTTGTCAAAATGCTTGCTCCACCTGTGCAAGATGCATATGCGGTGCAACTTACATCAGTCGTATCGATTGTTGAACCAGTGTTTCAGAAATAATGACCATATGAACCTGAACAACATCATGTTTTTTTGTATTGAAAAGATAACCATTTTCCTGCATATCAAACATCTGCTCCCCAGCATTAGGCTCTTTGTTGTCAATAAACTGAATAATAATAAGATGAAAACAAACTCGTGAAATGTGATTAATAGAGAAAGAAGAGGCTGGCTGCAAAGCAGTGATTATCAGAGAAGGAAAGTGTGCATTCTGAAATTATAGAAAGAAATTGTGTTCTTTCCTTCAACAGTTAGATTATAGCTTTCTACAGTGATCATACTGCATATCAGGGTAAAGAATTTTTTGTGTCATTTCTCTACAACGTCTTTAATTTCTGTTAAAAAAGCGTCTACTACAATATTTATGGAAAAGAGTTCTGATGTTGCAAGTATTGACAAGTAAATATCTCTTTTTTCTGTTGGTATATTTATTCATTTAATTGATTTTAAATGTAAACTTTTGTTCACTAAGTTACCTTAATTTGCTTCACTAGCCAATGACCTGTCTGTTTTATCATTTGCAGGTCAGATCTTCTTCTAGATCAACAGAACAAAGCAAAGGTCATTGTATTTGTCCTCTGTTGCTACCAGCCTCATTGTTTCTTGAACCAATTGGTGTTGATGATGTGCTAGAAATTTCTGGTTTTGGTGACGGGTGTTTGCTTGCAGGACATTCAACAGATCTGATCTATATTGGACAGGTATGATTCTGGCTATTGTTTTGTAGTTAACACAGACATGTTTGTGTTTCTACACAATAATAATAAGTAGAAACTTAATATTTCTACTTAATAAAAATGTTAAGAGGACATTATAGGGACAGTCCCCTTGGATACCTCTATTTGGATGACACTGCTGTTCTAATGTTTGTAGTATTTCTGAATTGTCACTGATTGTGGCCACCTTGGGATGGCATTTTTAAATTCGTGTAAACCTCAAAAATTGAATTACTACATTGATCAGCTCATTTAAAAGAGATAAAAAAAATCTCCCAATGAAATACAGATTATATCAGAAAGCTTTTCACTGATTTGCAAATAGTTTACTGCAATACAAATATCTTTAAACTGCATACCAACTGATTTAAAGGATTTATTATGCAAAGGATGAGGGAACTGTATGATTTATGTACCTGTTTTCCAAAGAGGAAATATTTTGTCATTCTAATTTTCATCTGCACCCTAATAATTCAACCTGATTTAAACTAAACAATTCAAATATATAATTTAATTAGTTTTAAACACACCACAGATGGTTTCTCTTCTTAAAAATCAGCACATACTTCCTTAAACTTAAAACTTCATGAATGCCTATTTTGAGTTACTGTGTCCAGTTTTTCATTTCTTTTCAAATCTTTGTTTATTCTGTATAGCTTATTCAGTTCTGGTAACAGTTCCCCATGACGTCCATAATTGCAAAGACTTTAACAATCAACTGTTCAAATATAAATAATAAGGTTCCGAAACAAATATATGTTGCATTGTTTATAAATTCTTCAGCAATTCAACTGGATATTGTTCCAAATCTTATTGAGAAGTAGTGATTTTTTTTGTATAGTTTCCCAAGCTTGAGTGACTAGCTTATTTGAAGATTGAGTTTATATTTTTAGCAGAGTAGTGTTAAATTTTCAGAGGTACCAGCATAATTATTGATTTTGGAATTAGATTTACAAACATGGAGGAGATGTTAACCTGGAACTTTAATGTCTAGTGGTATTGTGTAGCTTTTAAGAATCTTTGAATTTTTATTCCTCTGTTTTTCACATTCTTTTTCTCAAGAATTTATTACTGTAATAAGTTTTAAACTTCTAAAGCATTTATTTCCAATTCTTCACATTTTTTGTCATTTAAATGTCTTAAAATGTTATTCCTAGATTCAGACTGTTGTTAGATGGTCATTGTTGGAAATGATCTGTTGTGCATTCCTCATTGCATTCTATTGTATTTGACTGATCCTGTGAAAACTGGATATAATTGTCATAAAAAAATAATGAAAATTAATATGGTGTTCATTCTATAGTAAATAAGAATAGGCAATCAGTACCTACTGTGCGCTGTATTATAGTCAATTGACAGAAGTACTGTAAAGATAAAGATAATACAGTACTTTGTTACATTAAAATTTGCAAAATTTTTAAAACACACAATCCACCATCCATGCTATGTGCGACTTCCCCTGCCCTAGTTGGGAGTATTTCTAAGTGTGCATGTAATTAATCATAGACCACAGAAAGAATAAACAATTTCATTCCGAATCATTCACCTCTAACCAGGTACCCATTATATTCCTGGCTGAATAGAGATAAAGGTATTGTCTTGGCCAGTATCACACTCAAACACAACAGTTTAGTTTGATGCCTAAAAAGCCTATCACTGCACCATGATATACTGACTATTATGCAATCATGTAAATGGCTTTGAAGCGTATAATGGACAGGAACGAAAATTCTACATCTCGGTTTATAAAAATTAATGTTGTAGAATATGATACAATGCAAGATAAATATGAATCAAATCTTTTGATATTTTGTTTGGATTATAAAAAAATTGTATAAGTTTATGTTTTTTTTATAATTATAATACAATTATAAAAAACATTAAGTTACAACTGCAATCACAAAATATTGATCCTAAATCGGTCGCTATGGTGATGTTGATTGTATTTAAAGGTTATGATAACCTGTAGTAATCCATACCGTTGGACAGAGAATTATTAATAAAGAAGCCAGTAACAAGAGACAGATAATAGCACTGAATGAGTGTTCGATATATTATTATACATATTCTTGTGTAATTACATCTACAATAAATACCTTTCAAATATTTAATTAAATTATTCAGTTCTTCATTTTAAAAAAAAATCAAATAGGTTTCTAATAATTCACAGATTGAACTAATTCAATTTTCACTGATTTACATGCTGTTTATTACAAAAATACTAAGTGATTTCACTCAATTTAAGATCTGTGCAAAGAATATACCGTAAAACCTCAAATTGATGAAGCCAATGAGAAGAAGAAGAGAGAAGAAGCCCATCTCGAATTGAAGCCCCCTTTTTAGTTTGCAAAATTAGCCTTGAAAAAAAGCTCATGGGCTTTTTTTCAAGATATCATAGGCTTCTTTTTTCCGAAGTAGTACAGTACATACCTTGTACCTGAATTTCAAAAAACAAAATAAATTAAAAACAAGCTTGGTTTATACAGTAGTTCAATTTAATACCAGTTAATGCACTCCATGATACAGATTGATATTACAGTGGCCTTGTTTTATAGTACAAATTCCCAATATATACAGTACAGCATTTATTTGAAAAGAAGCCCCCTTTTTACTTTGCAAAAGTACTGTAGCCTTGAAAAGAAGCCTATCCAAAGTTTGCCAAAAAAAGAAGTAGCCCAGGGCTTCAATTTGAGGTTTTACCGTACTGTAGGAATGGTTTTTTTGTGTGTCATTATTAAGTCAGTTGAGGAGGAAAGCATCTAATTCTAATTCTCAATTAAAAGGAATAAGAATTGTACATGATTAAATATGATGGTAACTTTGGTATGGATTTATACCTTCACTCCAGTGATAAATAATGATGATATTCATTTTTGAGAAGAACATATTGTCCCTAGAGATTCGAACCCAAGACCTTTCATTTACTGTTCGGATGCTCTACCAACTGAGCTATATGAGGCCAAGTAGTATACACGCTTGGATTTTCCAATTAGAACATGTTTTAAATATTGCTTAATAATGCAATGAATCTTTAAAAGCTCATGATAGTACTGTAGGACTAATGTAATGATTAAACAATGAGCCATTAAATATAACTTGATGCTGTGCTGTACTGTACATAGAGAAACATTTCCGTCATCTGCTTGCTTGCGGATTAATTTTAATTTCTTAGTAATTAGATCGCAAATTCTGAACCCATGATTATAAATATCCACAAGGTTTAATTCTGAGACTTGCAATTTATCATTTTATGTTTATCACTTCCTAAACCTATGCAAATATGTCATGTACAGAATATTGATAAAGAGAAGATAAAAAGATAAGATGTATTGGTTCACTCTTCTATGATATTAATGGTATCGATCTGGTCCATCTTCAAAATATACTCAGTTATAAGCAAATATTACAATAATATATTAATATAAAAAACTGTTTCAGTAGGGCCTACTTATCATGTTACAGTAATATCTAGTATATCTTATATGACGAATTATTTGAGAGAATTCCCATATGCACAGTATCCAAGTGTAATTTGTGATACTATAAACATTGATTGGAATAATCCGTTAGGTGAAATATTATCACATACAGGTACAGTACTCTCATAAGCAAAGACATTTGTAATCTGTTATTACATTATTGTTGAAGTTGATTTTTGAGATTCTCTTAGAATCTAGATTATGTAGAGTATGGTATCTAAACAGTCTCCTATAGCTAGACTCTACTTTGATCTTATTTGTCAACTAGATTCATTTTACAAAAAAAAGTCAGAATAAACATTTGTAGTAATAATATTTCTTTTACTTGTTCCTAAATGGAATAATTTATCAACTAAAAAAAGAAAATCTCTACTGACCTCCAAGATGCCAAACAACCTTCAAAACTATTATTAGTTAAATATTATTTATTTACAAATATTTTAAAAATATTGTTACCTTTTAAGTTGCATTTAATTAATGTCGTAACCTTTATCTACCATGTATGGCAGGACAGGAAATTATTCTTTTTACCATTTCCTTTATATAATTATACCTTGCCTTGACCATATGTCTTATTTCAATTTTCTCAAGTCATTGTCTCTCACAGGCCGGCATTTATTTTTTGGGGCCATTTTTTGGGGCCACTGTCTCGACTCCTGAGCACCCGGTCGTCTGTGGCAGGGCAAATGTGTTTCCCGTTCCTTTGTTCGAGCCACCTAGGCAGAGGTCCGGGATTGCGCCAGGGTGGTGATGGATGGAGACCCCGAAGAGTATTTGCATCTTATTTTGCCTATCTTTCCCATCCTGTCTGGTCCGACACAAATAAATATACGTTAATGATTAAATAAAAAATTAAATTAATTAATTCATATAATAATGCGGAAAATGGCTACATGTACACTCGGCAGGTGGAAAACGGCGCCGCGAGCACCCCTACTAGGGATGGATAATGACATTATTATTATTATTATTATTATTCTAAAAATTGTCTAGTAGCCTAATGTATACTATAGTGTAATGTCAGCTTAGTACAGTATATGCTTCTCCTTGTAGACACCACTATTAAGGGGACACTTTATGGCCACAAAACAAGAGTAAGTATACTACGACCAACTCCTATTCATGGGTTCTACTGTATTTATAATTTATAAGTTTGCTTTAGTGACGTATAAAAGGTATGATGAAATTGAAGGCTCCATTTTCTAAAACTTCACAGGTGGTTCAACAGAGAGGTGCTCCCTCCATTTCTCTATAAATGTTAAATATTTGAAAAAAAAAACTCTGGTGTCTCTCACATAGAGACATCAGTTTGCCTCCCCCTTCCAATCTACCCCCGGTTTCATACACATAATTAGTTACGGTATTGGGGTTAGTTGTTGCTTTGTTTCAAATTACGTATATATTTCATCATTTCCCGTACATCAAATTGAATAACAATATTTAGTGTCGGGTGCATGTTGTATGTCTACAGTACATACAATGTGTAGGATACTGTTTGAACAAGATACATTCTAATTATCTAATTAGTATGCTTTTTGACCAGTGATAAAATGGGCTGTATTCGCATTATAACATAATTTTGAGACAGGGATATGTTGTAGTTAATTAATGTAATAATAATATAGTTAAACATAAGTACAAATCTTCTCCCTATAATAGTAGTAATAGATGAATATAGCACAAAAAATAGACAATCAACCAACAGTAGATAATCAAATTTTTGATAATTTCATTATTAATGTTGTTGCTTTGAGGGAAATGTGTTCTAAATTGGAAAATCCAAAAGACTATACTGGCTTGGTATTAGATGTCAGTTAGTATAAGCAATAGAAAACAAAACCAATTGAAAAAAAAAGCAATTGCAAACGGTAGTCTTGTTTCAAATCTCATTGAGGACAATACATTTTAATGTTTTTCACTTGGCCTAAATATGACACTATCACATATTTAACCGCACATTGGGGGTGGGGGAGGGGGTTTATAGCTTTATCCCTGAGAGATTATGTTGTGTAGAACATGATATCTATTCATAAATTATTAACTCATAAAATCACAACATAGCATACCTTGCCTTTTTCCAGCCTACAGAAGAAACAATTGGACAGGAAGAACTGGATAGTGTTTATCATGATGCTATTGACCAATCAGATGGAACAATAGAAAGTGATTATGAAACTGCGCCAGAAAGTCTAACACATAATAGTAAGTTGCAGATCGTTTTTTTTTTTATTTGCTAAATTTTTATTTGCTAAAAATTAACTATTAAAAAATAAATATGGAACCCTGTACTCACTGTTAATTGGGTTCTCTCACTAAAAAATTAACTCTCATGATTTGATTTATATTTTATAATTAGTATTTTAATAATAAAAATAAGGTTAAAAATGTAAATTTAAATATAATCAAGGTAAATATAAATATAATTTGTATTTTAAAATAACACAGATACACACAGATTAGCTATTATTTTAATATTAATTGTTAATTGTTCTTTAATTTCATATTAATTGATATTTTATGTTTACCGTTAAAACAGTTGTGGTGCTAGAATTTGCCCGACGGGGTGTGGTCGTAGTCGAACATCGCTCAAAATCTCTTGAAATTGTTCCAGAGGGAAATATGACAATTTGGGAGTTTCAAAGGCTTATTTATTCGATTTTGGAGTCTATTAATAATAATATATAGAAAATACATGTACATTTTTTTTTTCTCCCCGACGAATTATAGTTTTTCTCCCCAACTGGGAGACCCAGCTCTCTTTGACATTTTAACCTACCACCAATGATTATAAAAATATCTGGAATATTATTGCCCTTTTTTTTTTAGGTTTTCTTTCTCCATACGAACTTGTATCGGGCTACAGTAATTCTCTTAGCAAGGCTATAACAAATTGCGCAATATATGACGCGGTACGCAGCAGAAAACTACGCCGTGACTCTGACGACAGTCGCTCGTCTCAGTATTCAAGCAACTCATCAAACCGATCAAACCCTCGAGAACAAGCGAGCTTTACAGAATCGGGACACACGGTGCATAATGTGGCACAGTATTATTACCAGGACACAGATCGTCTGCACGTGAATTTGCTGCGTCGTCGCAGCTCTAATGAACTCTCGTCTCATCATAGTACCAGTCTGTCAGAGTTTGGTTCAGAAATGGATGAATATTTCGGAAAGAAGATCTCAGCGATTACCGAAGATGACTCACAACCTCATGTAGACGATTTTGCTACAACTCTTGCGTCATCAGTTGTGTTACACGGCCTGCACACAGCTTCTTCGCTGATGCCAGGGATCCAGCAGTTTGAAGCTAAACAGCCAGTCGGTGTTGCAATGAGACCAATCGCTCTCCGTCCCACTCCTGATAGTATCACCCCTGAACTCAGCTCTGATGGAGACCACTCACGTCAGGTCAACTCAGTAGAAAAGTTTGCTCAAAATATGGTAGAAAAGAGCTTAGCGATGATATTTGGTGTATGTAATAGTAAATCTAGTCCCACTGGAAAGTTTGGGGGCAACACAGACAATGAATTTGAATCGGTCAAAGGTACAAATCAAAATCAAGACTTCAGTTATAAAAAGATAGAGAAACTTGCCAGTGACCTTGTTGAAAAACTTATTAACGATGTTGTGCAGAAGAAAAAGAAAAGATTACATTCTTCAAAGATCACCAGTCCTGATGTACAGAAGCTAGTTTTTGACCAGAAAGAGAGGGCGAGCTTTGCTGAAGCTGTTGACCAGCTCGCAGGACGGGTTGTTAAGATGGCAGTCCTGGACGCCCAGGATGTCGTAAATGACTCTCTTGATTCAGATAGCTATGGATCGATAAATGAAGAGGAGTACAGTATTATCTCACCGATGTCATCATTGAGGGAAAGTGACTCATATGAAATCATTAGGATGGATTCTGTTAGTGAGACTAGTAGTAGCCCTGTCATCATACCAAAAAAGAGCTTCTCAGTAGAAGAATATGTTGAGAAGATTCTTCAGGAAAGCTTCACCGAAGTTAGAAATTTTAAGTGTGGACAAAACAGTGCTAACATGCCAAAGGAGTGTTTGAACCGGTGCCAAGAAAATAAAGGTCATGTTTTTGACACATCCCAGTTTGCTGACATGGTTATCAGTGCCGCTTTGCAAAAATTAAACAAGTTGAAAAGATCAAACAGTAGCAACCGGAACATAGGAAATTTAGTTTGCCTAGCAACAAATGCCACTGTCAGCTGTGATGGGTCAAAGGTCAAAAGGAATGATTCGGAATTATTTGAAAAAAGCCACAAATTGGAACTTCCTGAGCCAAGTACACATTTGATGCATCAGAAAGTGCATGGAGGAAATTCAATATTAGCACAGGAAGCACAAGGTAGAGATGTGAATACAATGTTTGATAGAAGTGCTAAAGCATCCATGTCAGACTATAGCGAGAATCGTTTGTCCGGAGAAAACAGCGGACACACTCCAGGCACGCCACCACCGACGCCAGACTCCCAGACCAAGAATAATTTTGATATTACTAAAAATAACCAACATGTGCTGGAGGAAGAGCTTCGGAAGCGGTTTGCATTTGAAGAACCTGAACTGGAGCCCAGCTGTAAATTAACAAGCCTTGATAGTCTGGCAAGCAGATTAGCTTCAGCTGCTGTGAGTGACGGTATCCATAAAGTATGTCGCCGGGAAAAGAAGCCAAGCTCAGCGAGCACTTTCACCGAAGATCTACTGAAGATTGGAAACATCGACATCACAGGCAAGAGACCAAGTTGCACAGAGGAAAACATTGCTATTTTTAGGGAGGAGCTTCGTCGAGCATCCATAGAGCAAGAAAGAGAGCTTGAGAGAAGAGGATCTCAGCTGTCAGACTTTGCAGATGAACTGGAGAGCGCAAGGTTTAAAGAAGACTTGCAGGAGATTCCACATCATATTCAAGAATTTGCATATGAGTTGGCTAACAACATCTTAGCAAGTGCTTTTAGGCAACAATTTGGAGATATTGCAGACAAAAATGAAGAAGAGCTTAATGTGGATACAGCTACACAAGAGTCTGGAGCAGTAAGTCTAGATCCAGCGGCTCAAGAGAGAAATTTACTTGCCATGGCAACAAACCTTGCTAATTCTATTGTAGCCTCGGCTTTACAGGCACTCCGTGATGGTCAAGCTGGTGGGGCTTCATTACAAACAGGTAGGCTCAAAATTGTTTTTAAAATTATTATTGAACATTACAAAAGATATAATGATAATCAAAATTATTTTAAAACACCACAAGGCATTTAAAAATATGAACAACTGTCTTCAATCGTGAACCTGATCGTGGGCTCAATAGTGAGCCCGATTATGTAACAAACATGTTTATTGTTAGCAATGATATCATTAATCAATAAATTAATAATTATTTTTATCACAGCAACAGTAAATAAAGCAACAACAAGATTTATAATTATCATTATTATCAATAATAACACTAATTATCATCATCATCAGGCCAAAACCAAATGATAACTTTTGAAAATCAGGGTCGGTCGGTCAGTTGATCTGCAATTTTTTTTTTATATAGCCTATGATACAATAACTCCTTGTCAATGCTTATCTTCTATGTACTATTACTTCATATTGTCAACCAAGTGTGTAACATAACAAAACAATGTTTGTCTAGAAGAAGCAGAGCCCGCAGAAGAACCAGCATCTGATGGAGCTCTACCATCCAGTTTAGAGTCTGCGGAAGAGAACCAGGAAAACTACTGGGACCCTCAGATGAAGCCTTTAATGTTATGGCTGACTGTTACCAATTCAAAACTGCCTGGGGGATCAATAGCGATGAATGGACCAAAGGTAGGCCTAACATTCATCATATTTAGCTTAGACAAACCTCCTGATAATGGCATTATCTACCAGCAAAAAAGTGTGTGCTTTAAGTAATACAGTAATTTTGGTCATTAATTTTTAGGCAGTGGCTATTGTTACACTAATTTTAAACCAATTCCTACTTCTCATTGGATATTATTGTTTTTAGTCCAAACCATACATACAATAATATCCAATCATATTTAGGAATTGGTTTAAGACTGCTGTAGCCATCCACTGCCTATTTTTAAATACCTTCTATTTATAGGATTCCTGTTATGAGTATATTTAGGAATTAATGAGCAGGTTTTGTCTGTAATTGAAAGTCAGTTGTTTATTTCCATGAAATATATTATTTAACTCAAATTAATTTAGGAGTTCTACCCCATTCTGTGGTTTTCTAATTATTGGTTATCATTTATCCCATGGAATATTCATGGTTAGCACATGCAGATTAACATCGCAGTTCATAAAAAACATCTGTGAAGGAGATTTCTTTAAACCGAATAAAAATAAAATTTGCATTAGTAAAACTGCAATAGTAAAATCATTTACAGGTATCACAAAACTTTTTTTGTTCATTTCTCTAAAGCCGGTTACTCACTGCGTGCGACGTAATGGCAAAGCGACGAAGAACGCACACAATAACGCGGACCCAACGGATCGTCTTTTTAATGAGGGTCCGTTCAGATTGTCACTGACGATCAGCAGACAGCGTTGCGTCGTCTATTGCTTACCGGAAGCAAATGTGGATTCGTCGTGCGACGGTCTTACGACCGTTGTACCACGCAGTGAGTGTCCAGCTTTAAGTTACATTATCTAGTTTTGTTTAAATTTAAATTAATAATAAGAGTACACCTGATTATCTGTGTATTTGTTTTTTTATTGTCAGCTTAAGAAAGTGTGTCGAAAAGCTCTTGAAAAGGGATGGAATATTGACGACCTTGCAATAGTAGTGAAGGATTATACAGAATTATTGGAAACAGACAACTCAGAAGAACTCCTTGACTACATTCTTCGTATTAGTCAAACATGAAATTACCAAAAATTGGTATGAAACAGTTCCGTAGAGAAAAGCCAATTCTGTTTTTCAGATTGGATAAAAAGTTTTTAGATATAATGAATATTCAGTGAATATGCTAAATACATGTCATCAAGATGGCTCTCCTTGTTCACAGTATGAATATGTCAATTTTTTTTGGTAGCTGTGAATAATTTACAAAAGAGATTCAAATTCCACACCCACAAAGAAAACAGGTACATGTTGCATTGCTTAGCAACAGAAGAACTGCTCATGAATATGCTAATAAGCAAATATGCACTCCAACTTAACTTATTATTACCATATATGATAATATACTAAAATTGGGATTAGTATTACTATGTTTTGTGTAGCACCTGAAATAATCATTAAAAACATTTGCTGTTATATAAATTGACTGCTACATAAATTGATGTTTAAGAAAATGCAAAAATGTAACTTTCTAATTTTTATAAATTAATAAACATTGTAAATATCAAGTATATTCAAATTTTAAAGAATACATTATAAACAAATTTTAAATCCATCCAACGAAGATGATCATTTAGGACCCTTAACGTATGCTTTATAACCATGTCTCATTATGAAGCTAGAGTAGTAGAGGGTTGGTCATTCTTATAACTATGATTCTATATATTTACTTTTATCCAATTCAGACGAGAAAATTCCCAAGATATAGTATGAATCTGTATACATAGTAACAAGGCACAACTTACCATTCACTGCTGCATTCCTATCGTAATTTTCTGCGTATCATTGTACCAAATTTTAGCATGGTTTTAATTCACTCGTGAAGACGTATCTTGGGGTGTCTGTGTAACATTAACATGCATCCTGTGTAACATTTCTTTCTGGTTTGGATTGGGTATCAGGAAGTAAAGTTGCATTTTTGTAGTTAGAATATTTCAGGATTTGAACCCAAGACCTTGTAGTCTGAAGGCAAGCACTTAACCTCCCCTCCACAGTTCTTAATCTGTAAGTTGATAAAGTTGATGGTTGTTAATGGTATTAAATTGTGCTGAGTTATTAAGTGTTGGATTTAAGATACCAGTGCTATCAAGTGATAAACTCCAGGATGCGTAAGTTTTTACCAGGTATTAGAAAGATAAAACTTGACTTTCATCTTTCGAAAAGCCACTGTAAAGCTAAGAATCCATTTGTCTGTTTGCTGTTTCGGTTACAGTGCGTTTTAAGTGAATTCATCACATGCGTTTTTAAAGGCCCCTTTACATGGATTCACCACACCACACGGCGGGCTGAAATCAAAATGGGTGAATCGCTCCATGGAGCGATTAAAATAAGTACATGCGTTTACAGAAGCGCAACGCAACTGCACTAATGGAATCACTCTTGTTTAAAACAGTTACATCGATTAAAACGCACCGCAAACAGAGCCACAATCTCAATCATACATATGGATTTCTAGCTTAATACGCACTTCTTATGCCATAATAATAATGTTGAATTTTATTATTACTATTAAATAGTTAACTGAAATATTTGTAAACCAGATTTGAAGTTAGTATGTTATCAACATACTTCAGACAGAGTATCGAAGAAAACATCACAACCCTTATATATATGATTAGCCAATTTCCATTTGAGGAAGATATGGCACCAATTTTAAATTGAATGCATTGTAAAAAAAAAAAAATTGTAAACCTACCTATTAAAACCTTGAACATAAAACAATAAGCTTGGAAGTCAGACATCATTGCACAGTCCCCTGTAAATAGAGTTGCATATGCCAGCCTTTATTAAATTTTCCAAAGAAAGCTTGTACTTCCCAGTCATTTACCCCAAACTAGGGAAGGCATATTTCTTTTTAATTTTTCATTGGGATAGGGTATCCCCATCCCCAAAAACCCTCCCCTCGCTTGGGCCTACAGCCCTCGTTTGGCGCTACGCTCCAAAGTACAACTCTTGCCGTGCCTGTCGGGGGCTTGGCCCTGCCGTGGAAGGAATCCTAGCACTGCTACTGGTCTGAACTGATGCGTTGTAAATGATCAAAAGCAAGCTCATTGTCCGAAATCCTCCAACTCATTTTTTAAACCAAATATTGCTGGATCACATGAGTAACATTGTCACAGACTTCTCAAGTTATATGGAACCTCTGTAGTTCCTACAGAAATTTTGCCTAATTATGGACAATTACAGAAATAGACAAAGACACTATGGAAATTTATTGTTACTCCTAGACCCAATTACAGATAAATTATTGTAAAAGAAAAGTGAGCCATAAAATAAACCTTCATCCTCCAGTTTAGTTTTTAAAGTTCCACAGCTGTTGTTATACTGTACCTGCAATTTTGAGCAACCCATCAATGGCGGCTCTAGGATGTATTTTCTGGGGGGGGGGGGCTAAGTTGTCCGACTGGGGACTTGAGCTCGTAGGCTCGAAATTTGAAGACAGTTATTTTGTTCGAGTTCCGAACACTATTCGATTGTCAATAGAGCACCCCCTACCTCGTGGTAGTAGTACCCATCATGCATAAACCGGATTTAGCCTTTCCCCACCATCTTTAATTGCTACATCATGACATAGTGTCTATGCCCCATTGGGGGAAGTAGACACAATAAAAACTACACTCATCCTTGTTCATATTTTTTAAAACAGTACAGTAACTTGTTAAGTATACCATAGAGAAAATGTTCTATTTTCTCTATGAGTATACTGACCATTGTTGGGGTTGTTTTTTGCTCTGTAATTGTTTCTATCCAGATCCATAACAGTATGGTTAGTATGAAAATATCTGATATTTTGGACAATTTTTGTAATACTGTAACTTGTTCTTAGGTATTCATAAATAAAATAGTAATATCAAGGCTTCTTAATAGCATATATATTCTGTAGCATACCAGTATATTAAGTGTGCTTGTGCTGTGTCATTGGAAATCAAAATAGAAAGTCAGGGATGTTTACATTTTAAAAGTATTGTAGGATGAATGTGGTATAAATTTAATTACAGTACACCAGCTTGTGAGAGCCATTTTACTTAGTTTTAAGTACATGTAATTTTTTTAAAGTTATTAAAAAAAAATTTATTAGCACATCCATTTTAATGCTTGTTTTCATGAATATGGTATTTATGCAGCAATAAAGACTATCTCTTGATTCAGAATAGTTTTCAAAGTTTCTTCAATTTTATTAACACAAAAATGAAATGAAATGGTTGTATTTCAACAAGTATTTCTGTGGGGACTGTTTATAGTATATCAGTAAGCAGTGTTTGGAAAAATAATTGACAGTACAAAATACTGTAATTACTCAGCATTTTAACTTCCAACGTATGTAAATATTCACGATTCTATAACAGATAAATAACAGTACTGCAGAAGTGAAGATGAACATTACACAGGCCCATCCATGACCAGGGAACTGCTGTCAAACCCCTTTTTGAGTGAACCCATTCTGAAAGTCGGAAATACAGTCCATGAGCCACAAGGTATTTAGGCCTTCATGTTAGCATTGATAGCATATCTAAATAGTAACAATATTAATAATGATGACATTAACAACAAAACAGTAAAAGCAATAGGTGTTCATGCTTTCAAAATTCTTATATTGTAAAATAACATTATTCTTTATTTTGCCTTGTCCTTTAATTATTTCTAAGAGGTTCACAATTTCTTTTGTGCCAGTTCAATCAGTTGATTGATGTTTTTTCTCCTGCCTTGTTTTGTCTGTTATTATATGGATATTAATTGTCTGAAATAAAAGAATTGAATTTATTTTGCATGAACTGGATCCATATCTGTATTGGAGTAACAGCTATGAGCTCTCACTGGCTAAATCCAGGGCCCAGACCTTAAAGGATCCCTGGGATATTCATCAGCATTTTTTATTTTTTTTTTTTATGTAAAGAAAAACATCAAAATACACCCCTAAAACATTAAAAATGCTGAATTGTTACCCTGTGCTCCACTGGGCTCTATACCCGAACCCAGCCCCAGGCTTTAAAAAGTCTTAGCCATGGCCTCTTTGTTACGCCACTGCATATCTGATCAATAATTGACAAAGTCTCCAAAGAAGCATCACATCAATTGGGTATTGGTTTCATACCAGTCACTGGGCACCACAAAATCAGTCTTCTTTTATTACAGTATTATACAAAATATATTTTACTGTTGTTACATTATCTTTTAAAAGAAGAAATGGAGTTGAATAGCTAAGTGGTTAAGATGCTTGACTTCTAATCCCAGGGTCCTGGGTTCAATTCCTGTGACAGTAGGACTTTTTCTCACGACTAAAAAAAAAAACTCCACTCCCTAAGCATCATAAAGAAACTTCGCTGATAAAAGCATCATGCTATTTCATTTATGTAGGAGGGCCTCTGAATATCAGCTGACCTTCTAGGACTATTTAAAATGAGGTTACACTTTCTGGTGTGCTGATGACGGTAGGCTCTGCACTGGGTCCCCAGAACCCTAATACTGTATGAATTCATTCATTCTTTATAATATATACATTTTACATTTACTGTACGTCTAATATCTAAAATAGTATTAATATGTCTTGCATATTACACAACAGACAGATGTGTCGCTGCTCTCCACATTATTAATCTGAACATTCAGATCATGCCATTGTAACCCACACATTTTCCAAGGGTGTAGTCAGACACTGTGGTTAATACATTTGTATGTGTGTTAGTGTAACACTGGTGCTGGTTTTGTGATTTTAAAGGTTTTGGGTTTATAGCTCACTGCCTACATCTTTGGGAAAGATAGTTTACACTTATCGTCTTTGTGGCCCAGGAATATAAATGGGTAAAAAGGAAAATTGGAATGATATTGGTCAATCAACAGCTAGGAATACTCCACAGTGAATTGAGAAGTTTGTTCAATGTCCATGAGTGACTCCATATGTAGAGAATAAATTCCTTTGAGCATTTCTGAACATTTTTCATAAAAATCTCTCTGATAAAATGTCCTTTGAAAATATCTGCATAAATTAGCTGCAATTTCACAACGCAAATTAATGTATCAATTTTCCACAAGACTGTGACTCATTCCTTCTCTTTTAGACAAGTCTTAAATCCAATGAACTGCCACCTTTTCTCTAGTGTTGCTCCAACCCCGAAAAGCTCCTGTTTAAACACTGTTGGTAGCTTCACCAAGATCGACTCGATTTCCCTTGGGGTGACCTTTGGGTCCAGGCGTTGCAGGTAGGACCAGAGGTACTCGATGGATGCACCAAAGGGATGAACGTGAAGGAACGTTGCGAGTAAGCCTAATAAAAGAGAAGTGAAAATGTATGTTGTAATTCAGAAGTATATTAAGCTGTTATTGATCATTACAGTAACATATACAATGATTGTATACAAAATCCTCAATAAAAAGTTTCCCTTTCACAAATGTTTTTGGATTAGGGTAAGAAGTAAAATAATTTTGCATACATTTTAAAAAATGTTTTGAAGTATAAAGTTCTTTAAAAAATTGCTACACCATTAAGTAAAGCTACAAAAATTCTAATGAGATGCATATTGTTGAGAATCGATTTTTTGATTACAAACATTTTCCCATTAAAAGCCAGCCCTAAATTGATTACTAACCAATACTTAATTAATATTAGCATATCCCACTGACAGCAGGTTGTATGTTTATACAGCGTTGCAGGAATACCTGGCACGTACAGAAATATTAAGACAGGATGATTCTAGGCTATTTATTACTAAATTGATTACTAACCAATACTTAATAACACATTTTGTCGGTAATCATGTATTACAGTTCTATATTTACAGTGAAATTTGGGGCGTTTATTTGAGTATATACGTATCCATTTTACATTGGATAAACGCCCCTCAAAACTCTTCTCAACAATAACCGCCCCAGGGCGTCTATTCGAATAAATACAGTATGTCTTTTAATTGCTACGAGAATACTTTCTACAATTACAAATAGCACTGTATATCTTTAAAGATCAATACTTGCCAACGATTATCTCTATGTGATAATCGCTAATGTTTACGGTATTAACCGTTTCAATCCTGGTGTCCCATGATACTCACCTACAAGCATACCGTCCGTTTCCGTTAACACAGTCTCTGGAGTTGTCTCGCTACCTTCTTTGCTACTGCTGGTTTTCTCTTTATTTTCGCTATCAACATCCCGTGATGAGGTGGACGTCTTGAGCCAATTTGTCAACTCGGATGGCTTCTCAGTCTGATAAATATTAAATTTAACAGTATTATTATAAAACATAACACAATTAGGGTAACACACATGAGAGATGAAGATATTTTGATTTGTTTTATACACTTGGCTAATAGTGAATATATGCATTTCACTCCGTAGTGATTACATAATAATTATTCATGTTATTTTCCATTTGGTTTATTTTACCAGAGGTATTATTTATTTTATTTTATTTCACTGAATTATTTTATTGTTTATTTCATCTCATTGTTTATTTCATCTCATGAGACTTTCATTCGGCCAGCATTCCCAGACTATACTACTGTTGAATAATTGTTAATTATTCATTGTTTATTGTTTATACTTAATATAAGACATACCTCATTTTTAATTACCTCGTTTTTAATTGGCTAGTTATAACTTTGATTTTAATCTCGGTTTTTATTTGCTTTCTGTTATACTTCTGTAAATATTGTAAATATATATGGATGGGTGAGATTTTCTCACCAGTATTCTTAAAATGATCAAATAGATCGAAACGTTGAATCTCAAAATGTCTCTGTCTCTTTTCAGAATTACTGTCTTTTTGTTTTATTATTTATGTTATATTGTAAATGGTTATCATAGTTTTATTTTTATTATAAAATAATTTAATAACTCTTGCGTTATAAAAGGCATATTTAATTGTACCGATATTTGCACATGTTCACAGTGACATTGTCAGTCAAACCTAAGCCGATTATGTCAAATAAATATTGCCTTTATCTGGAATAGTCTTCCGTGTGCTATTGCGTTGCAACCTCACATATACCCAGGCTGAGTGAATTTAACCTTCAACATTATTCATTTATTAACACTTTAATTAATTAATAGAACACATAAATTTATTAGGATACCAAAATTATCAGTATCTTTTTAAAATATGTTCAGTTTTGCAATTTAAAATATGTTTATACTTAAGCCGGGAACTGACTGCATTGTACGATGGTCGTACGACGAATCCAAATCCGCTCCATGTGATAGCTAGAGGCCATTGTCTGATGATTGTCGGTGGCACTTTGAATGAACTGCCATTAAAATGATCGTTTACGTGCAGTCAGTGGCATTGCATTCTTCACAGAATCAAGTTGGCTGACGACTGTCGTGCGCAGAGAGTGCCCGACGACAGTTTTAGGTTTTATATTTTCCGTGCTTTTTAATATTATGTATACTTAGCTTTGCAATTTAAAACACTTCAATTTACCTATTTATTTATTTATTCAGGTATACGATAAAATACAAAAAGCAGAACAAGTCTTAAATTATTTTAAGTACAAAAATTTATGGAAATGAAAAAAAAAAAATCAAATACATTCAAAGACACAGAATTACAAACATTAGAATCAGCAGATATCAAAAATTATAAAAATACAATTCATTAACCAAATTAAATTCCAATTAATTAAATATTTAGAAAAAAAGAAATTCTATGAGAAAGTGTTAAACAAATGCTAATTTGATTAATTTATTGATGTATTGGTTACTACTTTTGATTGATTGATTAACTTCAACAGACATCACAAACATCTAAAATCAAACATTATGACCATAATCCGAAAACCACTCTCATAACGACACAAAACGAATTCCTTTTCTCACAAAGTACTGTATTCTGCTTACCTCCTGTTTTTTCTTTTCTTCATCATGTTTTTTAAGGTTTCCTTTTGCTTCCATTAGTTGCTACCAACACAAAATATAAAACATTATAATTAACTAAAACAACATATAAAAAATAATAATGTTATGAGATACATACTTACATATTGTAAACATGTATCACATATTTATCACATTATTTATTATAGTATACACTAAATTACTATTAATTATTAATTACCTAGTGGACGAGCAGCTATATAAATGCACACTGTTACCTATACCTGTTTTAATTATAATAGGCCCTACAAAATAGAAAAAACTCTTTTGGAAACAGGTACTAAACTAATGAAAAAATACATGATACATGATATTATCAAATACACCATGTTAATCCAAGCACTCAATTATTATCATCATCATTGTTATTAGTATCGTTAATAAAAGTATACCTGTTGCATGCCAAGCAAGGCATGTTGTAACGCTTTAATCTGCGTATCCTTTTCCTCATACTCCTTCGCACGTTCAACTTTAAGCAGCTCCATCTCATTTTTGAATGCTTCAAGTTGACATCGCATTGTGTCGTTTTCTTCTTTAAGTGTGTTTACTTCTAAAAATCAACAAGACAATACTTAGAAATCAGATGAAAGGTAAAAACGTTTCTACCTGTGTTGATTATTAGGCATCCATTCAATAACAAGACAAATATTTGAATATTGGGTATCATAATATATAATTTTAAAAAATGAGTGCTGAAATGCTCTTCAATGAGGATTTCAGCATAATATATCAAAATACTGTGAACTGTCTCGTAAAAATATTTTGTTGTGGAGAATGGTATCATGAATCTTGCAATTCGATTACAATTGTCTCAATTACAATCTATAAACTCTGGTTGTTCTGCCAGAAAATTTTTTCTGTTTTTCAAAGACATCAGATTCTCCATAAGCACTCGTTCTTGCCGATAATTCTTATTTTTTCCTTGTACATTATCAAAATATTAGCCTGCTAACAGTACTAATACTACTAGACTTGCTGGGGAAAGAAATGTTTGAGCACTGCATATGAAAGTGGGCTGGAATGTTCAATCACATGTTGGTTAAAAAACCCTTTTATGGTGATGTATTAATTACTTGGGTGCTGACAATGACGGAGTGACAATGACGACGCCTACTCAGGGTACACCACGAGTGCACAGGAAGGTTTATCAAACTTTTTGTAACTCAGGTCAAACAATTTAACACAAATTTGAAGAAATAGCCATTTTATTAATCCCTTTACAACAAGTTTTGGTTTGGTGTTGATTGCGACACTGTTAAATAGTTGGTTTTTTTTAGACCCAGATGGGATTTGGCGGCCTTCAGAAGTTGGTCCATGATCCAAATTTATGGCGTGACCCATGGGTTGCCGACCGACAGTAGAACTGGGAACAGTTTGAATAGCATGTAAAATGGCAAATTGGCATAGCAAGCAGACATGAATATTGTACAGTACAATTCAATTTAAGAATAATATTTAAAATAGCCACAATCTAACATACATTTCATAAGAGATGCTCAAAGTAAAATAATTTAAAAAATTTAAAAATAAAATTTAAAAAAAGTATAATAAATAAAAGAAATGATGAAAAAAATTTTTAAAAAAATCTACCTTCATCTGAATCTAATTTTATCTTCTTAGCTTCCGATGACTCCTGCAGCAACTGGTTTTTGGCAGCGTACTCCTGTGCACTTTGAACCATCAACAGGGTCTTGGTTTCCGCATCTTCATCATCTGATACATCCATGTCTGCCTCACCTTTCTCATTTAAAATGTTACTCAACTCTTCTTGTTGACTCAACTTGATTTTCTAACAAACAAGAAAAATATTTGATTTATTTAATATTCCCTGACATTGTTACCAGTAACTACCAATAAATTACTAAAATCATTTTTATATCAAGGGTGTTTACAATAAATTAAATGTGTGCATGTCATCACTAAGGGGTTAAATACAACAATAATAAAATAAATACTAAATAGTTAATATATAACATATAGTTACTGATTGTTAATCAAACCATATAAGTAATAAATACAAGTGAACAGTCTCTTCATCAATTACTTAGTGATTTTAGAATAAACGTTTCTTACTTTTGTTCAGGATTCTGATGACCTCAAAGACCTCAAACAATCTCATAATTTGACTGCTGTACTTACCGATTTTGAACAGTGGTAACATGATAATTTGCATATTACAGTTATAATAATGAAATTTATTGTTGAAAATTTTTAAAATACTTTAAACCTATTCAGTGTAATTAATGATTAATTAATGATCTTATAGGCCTAATAATAAATAATGTTTTTAAATATTTTTCTATTCATATATCTTTAGCCAGGATAACACAGTTCTTAGTTAAACTCAAACAGTCCACATAAAACAGACACATAAATAGCTAAGATGTTCTTGTTTTTCCTTGCACACTCTTAAGGAGTGTCACAACAGAATGAATTATGTAATAACAGTTAAGCATACTATGCTTCAACCAATGTAGTTTCCCAAAACATTGCTCTGTTTGTATATTTATGCCACATGTTGGTTCAAACCTTCACAGCAATGTTTCATTTTAATCGCGTGCAGAAACCTCAACAAATAATCACCCCATTGGTGTTCGCGTAACTATACCGAGATACTGGGTTCTATTACATCAACGTAAACTGTAAGAACACTGTCCATCGCATGTGGAAAATTACATGCCACTATGCGGTTATGTGGACAGAATGAATGGGTTTTGTTTATTCTGTTGTGTGCATTTAGCTTAATGCATAAACATTCCGCTACAAAACCTTCCTAATAACTTCGATAAGCATTTGAATAAAAGGCTGTAAATTACCCATAAAGGTATCATCTAAAAATATACCTTACTTACGTATTACAGGTGTAACAAGGGTGCGGTTCGTTACCTTTGCTTGCTTCTTCCATGTATCTATGTTTTTCCTCTGAGGCTTAGTAAAATGGTCCCATGCTCGTTGCTTGGTAGCACTCACAAATACGCTCTCTATCAGGCTGACTATATGAAAGTACCAAGGTCACATCGACTACCAATTCTTATTGATTATTATTAAATATATATAAAAAAGAAGAGATGCTTCCTCCATACTCACATAATTATTATGACTTCTAGATATTTAGAAATAAAATGTTTAAAAGTTGAGTCATGTGAAAAAAAAATTCATCTCCACTCCATGCTTGAAGATGTAAAGCCACCTACTCATTGTTGGTGGTGGCAGTGAGAGAAGATCGCTGTTGAAAACGATCTGTTGACCTGGTTCAACCCATCAAACTTTTTTTTAACACAGAGACAGCATATTCAAATATCAAGGTCTTAATAATTTTTTAATAAATCTGAAAACATCAACATTTTTATGAAGAAAATATTTTGGAATGATGACTCAAATGGGGGTATATTTTGAAAACAGTGGCGGCTTCAGAGATTCACTGATAGTAGTCCCCAGGGGCTGCCTAAATCCTCAGTCAGGATCCCGGAATAAAATCAATGGTGGGGCTCATGAGGAGAAATTATATGTTTTAGGATGGCCCATAAATTGTGCTTTGAATAAACAATTATGTTTAGTCTGACAACCTTGTTGCAGGGTTGAATTATGGGAGAGATCCATGCTTTCCTGATGAGGAGAATGGCCCTCTGACCCCCCATGCTGGCACTGCCACTGTTTCCAAAAAGTTGAAGAGGAGTAGGTTAAGATACTACCTGTACAGTCCACACAATTCCAAGGAAGTAAAATCAGGATTGGTTTGGGGCAAAACCGAAAGCAAATGATTAATCCCAAAGAAGATAATTACAATGTATATGTTGAATTTGAGGAATACAAGTTTAATTCTGAATATACTCCACCATTTGGTTTGTGATTGACATTGACATTGTAGTCAAATTAAATAAGACTGCATATGATACCTTCCAGTATGAAAAGTAAGCTATGTGCACAAATGTATAAAAAGGATGAAGCTAAAAAAAACACCTAATAAACAAAAGGTGTTTTTATGAAAAAAATAATATTTGATATATTTAAGATTTGCAACTGGTATTTGAATTGCAGAAATTGAAATTGAATTTAAACTTCAAAATTGAACTCAAACCTGTCTATAAAAATCCTATAAATAAAACATCACCTACATGATTGATATAATAAATTTGTTAATTTTGATATATACTGCAGAATACGTCACATTACTTTTTTATTTATACACAAGCTAGTTCTCTCCACTGTTTTTAGAACACTGCCCTCTTTTGACAGTTAGCATCAATGAATTTGATAGAAACAAAATGGCAACAAATACACCGTCTAGTGATCAAAAGGATAAAGGAAGGTAGGAATCTGAAATCAACATACTTGCCAGATTGTTGACAACCAGAGGAAATCAATGACAAAAATATTTTCATCATTATACACCTGCCAACTTTGTTGGTGTCTAATGTGCAAGACACAAAAACAATTAAAATTTGTATAGCGCCCTCTATGTAAATCATAAACTAGAGTGCCCTCTATGTTTTTTAAATATTCTAATGAAACTGCTATGGATTACATAACTTACAGTCCTCATTCAGAAATTTATACAGCTTGTATTCACATTCTAATGACAAATTCACTTAATTTTTATGAATTTTAAGGTATAATCGGCATTATATAAACATTTTTATGATGCATGAGATAACAAAAAGATATTTAAAATCTCTGAATACAGATTTTTTAATAACAATAATATTTGGAAACTATAAATATTGTGAATTATATGAATATGGTCAATATACAAATATATAATGTACAAATAAAAAATCAATAAATTTGGTAATTTTTTTTTTGATGAGTAATATTTTTGATGATTATATTTCACTCAGATTATCAACACTGGTATACTCCCAAAGACATCCAATCAACAGGCTGCTTACTGGCATCATGATCATAAAAATTTCAATCAACCAACTTCTTACTAACATCAGGACTTCAGGATATCCAACCAACAGGCTTCTTACTGGCATTATGGACTCAAATTCTGATAACAAAACAAGATGAAAGCTTTACTTACATTGGTTGAATAAGCCATTGACCCTGTGTCTATACACATTCTTGGCAACCTCCCACTCATCAACGTATGTCTGTTTTTCATTCATTAGTCGTCTCACTTGGCTAGGTTTTTAGAGGATCAACAAAAGAAGGAGAATCAGAAGAATATAATTTAATTGTCCTCACAGAGATTACATTGGTCGTTCAAAGCACATACAATATAATAAAGTTGTGACATACATACATACATATAATACAAAAATACTATATCCTATTTATAAACATAATAAATTACAGAGCATATGTTTAAAGTTAATGATAATATGCTTAGTCTTAGTATATGGATAGAATATGGTATAAAAAAAAATTATCAAAAAGTTTATTAACACTTGAACAAATCTTTGACTGATTTGAGTGAAACAATAAAAAGAAAATGTGCATATTAATATGGTGGTAAAAAAAATTATCTCATCAAGATGATGTGCTATTGAAACATTCATTTCAATCCTCCATCTGAAACACAAGGTGTGCAGAAGACAGGATTGAACAAGTGACTAAAGACCTCCAAGGTTCAAAGTGGATACCATGGCCACCACTATCAGCAGTTGATGATGATTATTGCATTACCTGTTCACAGATTGGATCATACTGTAGAATGTACTGGCAGTTCTCTTGGTGCAATCCCCTTTGTCCAACCAAGAGATCAACAGAGATACTGCCGCCAAAAAGTTTTCATCGGCTGCAATGAAGCACGTAATAAGTTATATTATTACAAGATACAAGATCGATTTATTGTCAATATGCACAAAGTTGGGTTTACATGAAATTCAGGTTCCAATGCTTTCATAAAAAAGAACATAAACATAACTAAAACTACACAATAGAAAACAAGGTGCAGGTTACATAAATATGATATGAAAACAAGCAAAATAAAATTTGGTATGGTATCCTATATGGCATATTGTTATTATGTAATAACAATGAAAAAATAACTTCATTTAGCTTACTGTATAATATCTATAAAAAAAATTGTCTATATGGATAAGACAATCTTTGAATGCAAGTTCATAAGACTGTATGTTTATAATCTGCTCATTTGCCTTTCTTTGTAATATTTGGCCTTTATTAAATCTAGGTCTATATAATGAGTAATACAGTAATGAACTATTCATTGTATTACAAATGTAGGGTTTTGTATTGATTTTGTATTTATTTTGTATTTGAGTGCCAACAATGGTTTTATTATATTATTTCATGAACCAATATTAAAATATTATTTCATTTACATTTGAGATTTTCTGCGAGAGCTGTAGATTCGTGATCTGAATATGGAATGGCCATAACCGGTGGAGATGGTGGTCGAAGAAGTTGCTCCTCCATCCGAACACGATGTCTCATCTCACGGGCAAATTGGCGTTGCCGGCATTCAAAGTCATACTGATCATCGCGTGCTTGTGCATAGTCTACATGTATACGCCCTATATTATCCGGCTCCTTACTGTTGTTTATGCACAACCTATAACCTACAAAATATTATAATAGATATTTGAATATGCATGAGTACAACATACAAATGAATAATAATATTATACAAATATAGAATTTCCCCAAAAAAATTTTAATTGTACAGTTTGAAAATCGTAAACAATATACCGGTAATAAATTTACCAGCCTAAAGTCTAGTACTTACCTGAGATATACAATGCCTTGTCTACAGCCACTTCCTCGCTGAATCTCACATGGCAGAAATTTTTCTTTCCTTTACGATAACTCACAATCTCCCCGCAACAAGCAAACATTTCTCGTACTAGATCTTCTGTGACGTTCTCTGGCAGACCGCCAACAAAAATGGTACGGCAGCCGTATGGTTTCTCACGAACAGATGGAGGTGCACCTAAAATTCAAAGGAAAACTTCAGAAATTAATTAATACTGAATGGTAATAATGGTAATTTAAATGGGCTGTTTTAAAGTCAGGCTCCAATTTTTTCTCCGGAGCTTGGCTTTAATATGTTCTCATTAAAATAAACAGGTTGACATTGGCAAGAATGAGTGAAAAGAATCCATTTCCATGCATGGTGGAATGCTACAAAGTCAAGAAGACTGTTTGTCATCCATATTTTTACTGAACAGGTCAAGGCACAAAGGATGTATCCACTGTATGAACCATTTTCCTGCTCTTTGTGGCTCTCAAATCTGATTTACATACGTAAACTGATGATAGCTGTGTTTCACTAGTTTGTATCCTTTCTGCTAGTTTTCTCCTGCTTATACAATCTAATATTTTCTGTTGTTAAATGATTTAACAAAAAAGCCCATTAAGTATCAAGTTACAATTTTATTATAAATATTGTAAGTGGATTTACAAATTGAAAAGCGTACATAGGACGCTTGTGAGAGCAGTGTCTGTCACTAGCGACGTAGAACGCATTAGAAAATTTGTTTTCTTACCAACTGGTGGCGGAAACAATGTAGCACCTGTCAGATGGATCACTTCCTTTTGTTGCATCATCTGAGGCAGGGGAAGCATGTCATTCCCCCCTACCATGTTCCCAGGAAGTCCACCACCACCAGGCATACCTCCTCTGCCAAGTGCACCATTAGCTGGCATCTGATCAAATGCTGGAATCATTCCTCCTCCCTCATTCCACATGGATCCCAGATTCCAATTGGGGTTCATCGACCCCATTCCGTTACCACCCATATTAGGACTGTTCATTCCAGGTCCTGGTGTGTTCATGCCCGGCATGATGGGACCTCCGATTCCCACTGTATTATCTGAGTATCTTCTACGAACACTCATCATATCTGAAAAGAGGTAATCCTTAGGTCGCAATACTTCTTAAAATTATAATAATCATAATTAAAAATCAATAATAACTATAATGATAGCATAGAGGTTAAAATAAGAAAATAATAATTAAAAATATAAATAGCAATAACAAAAATTGAAGCAAGGACTCCACATTATTATCTGATTTTAATATTCTTAGTTCCCTAAGCTATAATTATTACATTGTCATTTAAATGTACAGTAGAAATTTTTACTACTGCTAAACACAGATTTGGATCAAGTGCCTTATTGCCTAATGGAACAATAGCAACTGACAGTGTGAGACTTAAGCCCCAGCCTTTAGGTTGAGAAACTGAACCATGCTCCAATGTGAAAATGTGTTTGCAGACAATAGAAAGTAAGACTACCTTACCTCGACGATCTTTCTTTATGCCTTCTTCTACAGATGAACCCATTATGACCTTTGGCCCAGATTTGGCACTGAATTGAAGAGGTTGGTCATTGCTTGCAGGGTCAATGCCATGCTGTCCTAGCACTGAAAAATAAAAAGACGTGAATTATGTCAATCATTTGCAAATTTACAGTCAACATGAGACATTTGGTCCCTGGGTCAATTCCATATTTGCTCTCTTTGTGTTTCAGCTGGTGGGACTCAAGTAATTTTTGAAAAGAGATGTCATCAGATACAGTGATATGATCATTCCCCGCCCCCCAGGAGATATGCTACTATGTGTACAGAGTTCTTTAACATGTGCAGGAAATTTGAAGCAAATACTGTACAGTAGAATCAACAACCTAACATTTCTCTTCTAAAATATGGTGTGATTTTGTTATGCTATACATGATTATATACATGCCAAGTCTTGTAATTGACTGAATTAAAGAATTCTCCACCAAAAAAAATTTAGAGAGCCTCACTGACTGTCGAGGTATTGGTTCTGTAGTGTTCACACATAGTGTGAGGATTTACACCCGTATTCTTAGAAAAACTTCATATAATCCTAGTTGCAACTTCAACTTACATTTGTATTTATAAACAATGCAGTCGAAGTTCTAATTACGACTAAATCAAGTCTTAGTTTTAGTTCAGCTGATGACCGCTGGCAAGCAACGACTATCAAACTAACCAATAAAGAGCTAATTTTAATATCAGACAAAATGTTAGAGATCCGGTAGCACTGATGAATATTGAGCTGCCGTCTGTCGCTCAAAAACATATTTCTTCATAATTTATAATAGACTATCATTAGCTTAATTAATTTTCTATAATAATAACTATATTAATCGTTAACATATAACAACAGAGAAATTAAACAGTCACTGAAAAATTGTTTTCTTTGGAGAACTATTATAGTTGAGCCCAAGGGTGGCGCCACCTTTTTTTTTATTGAATACACCGATACAACAGACCTATTTACACAATCGTTTTCTTACTTACAGTCTATTGTGAGTTACAAAAACACGTTTTTAGTAGGGTAAATATTTCAATTCGGCGATTTAGCCTGACCTTCGGCTGACTAAAAAAAATCAGCCTGCGGAGGTATAATTTTAGTTGAGGTTTGCGTCATTTAGTCAGCTATAGCCATAATATCGGCGCTGGTTCAAACGGCACATTCACCTATAGTTCTAGTGGTAGAACAAGTCTTTTAGATAAGGACTATAAACTGTAGGCCCAGTGTATACAATGGCTCGTGTGCACTGGAACAGACAGCCCCTGTAGTGTACGAGGAGAGTTGCTGGTGCCGGGTAGCACAGACACGAAGGGACCCTTAGGGGCGAAGAAAGTCATTGATCGAGTTGCTAGTCCATATATCAAGCGCCCTGAGCATCTTACATTAGATGGATATGTGCGCTATATATAGTAAAACTACACTATTATTTTTATTATTATTGCTAGTTGAAGTTTGTTTTGAGAATACGAAATGACATAATTTTTAAATTTTAGCTCGAACTACGACTAAAGTTGGTTTTAAGAATACCGAGGTAAGTTTAGTAAACAATATTGTTTCATATGATACTGATAAACTCACTTGGCATATTTCCTATTGAGGTTTGACCTCCAAGATGTAGACTTTGCTGCAGGAAAAATGGTGCTGTCATATCTTGAGTTTATAAAATTGTTGTTACCTGTTAAACTGCTACCTGTAAGAAAATGTTATTCATAAATAAAGAATTCTGTTTTAGGTTCTAGCAAATATTGGAGCTGTACCTTCGAGGAGCTTGCTTTTGACTGCCAGAGCCGTACGCTAAATTCTTACAGCCAAAAACAAATTTGGTAACAGTTTTTCATGGCCAGATGCAAAACCTTGTTAGCAGCCAATTCTTTCCATAAGATAAAATACTATGCTCTACATTATTATGATGCTTTTGCGATTGGACCTACTTGGAATACTTCATAATACAGTAATTTAACAAGGAAAATTATCAATAGAAATTCCGTCAGGTTCCTGCAAATTAGTATTAGTATCTCTAGCCACGGTGTTAAATGTATCGGCACCGGTACTAGGACTGCGATAAACATAACCTATCAATAATGTTAGTAGGCCTAGTATCATTTAATTTAATGTTGATAAATAAATTCTCAACAAGGCTCCAATATCGACTTATAAAACAGGTAGTATATTTTTAGCTAAAATTGCAACACCTCTGTGATAAAGTTTTATAGACTATAGCCTTCTAAATTAAAAATATTTTCATTGATCTCAAACAAACAGGCCTAGGGCCTAGCTAGAGGCCTAGTTCAGCTTAGTTTAGGCCCCCTAGCTAGGAGCCTAGGCTAGGTAATATTTCTGTTAAAATAATCACGTCAGGTTTCTCATCTCTTATCCTTATACTTGTTCAACAAGCTTATTTGTTAAAGTGTCACAATTAGTATAAACGCACTATAACGTGACCTTGCCTACAGAAGCCTACACCAGGCCTAGGCCCTAGTGACAGTGTATGTGCATACTACTAGGCCTAGGCCTAGTTTGTTTAACTTTAGGCAGAGTAGTACTAGTAGTAGGGCCTAGGCCTAGCTAGAAGCTACATCACATTTGGAGTAGAGTATCATAAAAGAATACACACAACTAACTGAGGAATTCTGGCCATCAGCTTCAGGAATCTCTGATGTACGACACAATCACAAATTTGCAATCACGACAGTTATGAGGTGCATTTTAGTCAATATTTTACGGCAAACAAAACCCGTTTCGTCGAAAGGTAGGTTCGCTGAACCTTTAATTTTACAGCTATAATAGCGCCCTCTATGACGACAGATAATAGAGCTAGGGCGAACTCGTCGAACTTCAGCAAAGATACTAGAAATACAAGATAGAGTTCTCGCATTGTAAAAATGAGGCGGAAGTCGTGCCCAACGTAGGCGGCGCCCTTCTTTTTAACCATTCAAGTTTCCTATACTTCGTGCCCAACGTACAGGGTTGCTAAGTATATCCAGACGCAAAAGGCGCCCTTCCTTTTCCACTAATGGAGGAAAACTTTTGCACTAAGAGTGCGTCCGGCCATGCGATTCTGCGCTGTATTGTTGTTTTATTCTTTACTGATCCATTATTATGCTTTAATTGTTTTGTGTATTATTTGGATAATAGCAACGATTTCTACCGCCACCAAGGAGGTTATGTATTCACCGATGTCACTGTCTGGGTGTCTATTCCAGTTTGTTTTT